TTACGATTCTCATATTTATTTGTTCAAAAAATTAAAAAATTGGAATTGAAAAATTTCTATTAATAACTGATAATCGTTATTTAAAGTATTTTTTTGCATAAAATAGATGATCAATAATTTTCACTGGAAATTACATGTCAAGTAACAAATACATGAAGCGAATGGATTTAAATCGCTTACCTTTAGCATTTTTTTTCTTTATGGCACTAAACTGACCAATAACATCGATCTTCCAATTTCATTGTATATGACAGCTGTTTCCAAAAGTATCTTTTTGCGGTCATTTTTGTTTGATCTTTGATCACAGTTATTGCTAATTTCATCTCTTCTTGTAAAACATTTAAAGTACACGATGTAGTCAAAATTCTGCCCCTCCACATCACATAAACTCTTCAAATTTGCACAGCTTCACTTAATTTTTTCACTTTTTCCACAACGATGATATTTATTGTTAATTCGTTACCTCGAAAATAATGCAAACTAATTCGTTATTTTACAAATTTATTAAAGTTAATTAAGGATTAGCAAAGTTATGTTTTTGCTTTAAAATGCAACATATTACAATGTTAATTAGCAAAATTTTAAGATTATTTACCGTATTTTAAAGATTTTGATCTGCCAAATAAATTCTTTTATGATTTTTAATTTACATTCACTATAATGTTTCCTTTATTGTGAAGTTTTAACTCTTTTTTATGAAGCAATCTTTGCTTTGAATTGTTATCTTTAGGCTTTCAATTATTACAAGTATTCTAATTTTTAATCGTCATTAAACTAGTCTATATAAATTAATAAACTTGATTGTCGACCAGAAAGATCGATCCAGATCGAACCAGTTAATTTGATCTATGCCTTTTTTTTGTGCTACAAGATGAACCGCAACGTTGGATACCAATTTTTGTGAAATAAATCGACCTTATCTTTATCATAACTTAATGAATTTAGAGTACCGTTTTCTTGTGACATTGAAATTTGAAACTTTTAAGTTTGATTCTTGTTGTTAATTTGCAGTGTTTTTTTATAAAGCGATTGTCTAATGGCAACACGTAATATATGAAGTAACTTTCATTGTCCAATTGTAGCTATTGTCTTTTCGAATTCATGTGCATGAACAAGTAGAAGTGTCAAAGGTCGTTAATAAATATTTCATACAAAACCAAATCATACTCATTGCCATTAGTGTCATCAATTGCAGTACAGTGTAATATGGAACATATATTTCCTTTTGCAATTACTTCTTCATTTTTACTGTTAAAATAAGTTTAAGCTGAATGGTTGTAATTAAGTGTTAACCATTAAAAGAAATGTTGTAAAATGTGGAAGTACTGCGAAGAATTAATGAGTATTTTGATAAGGAATAGGGCAAATATTTCATTTTGTTTGCTCTTCAGAAGCACAAATTTCCATAAAAAATCATATCTTAAAATTCTATTTAAAAAATAGTTCACATTGAACAATTCAACAAAAAGTTAATTTTTCTGGTATACTTTTTGAAATAAACAGTTTTTCAATATATACTGGAAATAAACTAAATTTTTGGATCAATGCTAAAAGCGATATTAATTCAATTCGTCAATTCGTCTGATAGCATGCAGCAGTACAAAGAAACACGATACGATGAAAAGTTAACGTATTTTGTACTCTCCTAATTGTTAACAAATCAATTATATTTAGGTATAATTAATTTGTTAACAATTAGGAGAGTACAAAAGAAGATCGCAATAATAATAACTATTAATTACTGCCAAATTAAGTACCACCGCGGTATGTCATTAATCAGAATTTTTAGAAGTTCTTGGGTGAATCGATAGGTAAATTTTCTTGTCATATTTGTGAATAATTTTCATAATTTCATTTAACCATATTTAAATGTTTTTATTTCATTTTGTAAAAATCATACCTCATTTATTTCAAAATTTAAACACAGAGAAAAAGAATCGTAAATTTACTTTTTAACTCTTTCATTTCAAGAATAATTTTACATAGCTTTAAAATAGAAACTAAAACTCATTGCTAAAACAAACAATGCAATCTTTCAGGTTTTTTTTGATGCAATCATAAGCTCATTGAAGAAAGCTTCCAAGCAGCTGTCACTGAAAGTGCATTCACCTCAGTTAAGCTTTCACGTCGTTTTTTTTTACTGCATGAGTATATACGTATCTGTTTGCTGGATAAAGTAACAACTGATCGAAGCATACTCAAACATTTTACTAGCATTTTGTTTTCAATATTTTTTTATTCAAATTTCAAATTTACGCGAAGTGTAATTGTTTCTCAGGTTACATCCTATCTCTTAAAATTTAAATCTTTCACTTATCACTTTTACTCTTTTTAAAAGCATCAGTTAACTAGTATTTGAAATTAGCGCCTAAAATCATGATTAAATAAATAAGTAAAATGCGTTCGTTCATTTTCTACAACAAATATTTGATTATCTACTTCACTTCATCTTTAGTGTTTAGAAACTTTATTAAAAAATGTGCTATAATTTTATTCTTTAAATGGTAATATATATTTGCTAATATTTGAAAACTAAAATTAATTTGTTCTGTTATGGTACATGTAAAAACAAATTTAATTAATCATAATAAAATATTTACAATTTTCTTCCACTTCTTCATAAAAATTCCGAAAATTAATGATCAAATGATAATATCTTATTTAAAATTGAGTTAATGTAATTTATTATTTTGCGAAATAATTCCACATGCTTTTGAGCAAGACAGAATGGCAAATTTGTAATAAAGAAAAGTCTTGAAATTCGATTCTGGAAATTTTACAAATAATGAAGTAGTTGCGCATTGTTTGTTGACTATGATCTAAAAATTATTTGCTTTAAGATTCATTAGCAGGAAAATAAACTATTCTTTTTCCAACATTTCTGCTACTCATTTTCCTCTTCTCATTTGTCTGGAAAGAATTAATCATTTCACTATTGAAAAAAATCATTCATCTTTTTTAATTTGATTTCAAATACCATTTATAGCATTCTTTCAACTTTTCCATAATATCCGACAATAAATTCTTCCTGCTCCATAGTTCTTTCATGGAAATAGAAAAACTTGAACTAAAAATATAAATTTAAACTTGGACTAAAAATATAAAAAAGGACGAAAATAGATTCGAATATTTTTTCAGGCTTAAACTTTCAAGTTTGCTTTTCTTCATTTAACTTGCGCAACAATGAGTAAATATTTTCATAAAATAAACTTATTTCGTTATATATTTAGTTAAATAGCTGATCTAATCATATTCTATTTCATCATTTCAATCAATTATTGTATTCCATCCTTTCTAATTATTCACTGATTAATTCATTTCTATATCTGTTGCTTTGATTTGATCAAAAACAAATAAGCGCAAATTTTGATTAAAAAATTTTAAACATATCAGACTTCATACTCAAATATTGTTAGAGGCTGGTTGATAGCCAGATGTCCGTTTTCCTCCTTTCTTTTAAAAATCTCTCAAATCTTCACTATACTTTCATCGCCTCACTATCATACTAGTTGGAATTCTAAATTCAAAGAAGTTCAAAATTTTATTTTTATAAATCTTGGATAAAATTGAAAAATAAGCAATAATTTCTTTTTCACATTTTTTTCGTAGTGAAGTTTGATTTGTGAATATTCGATATATGAATGTCAATCAAATGCTTTTTTTTTTTACTTTATTTTCCCTTCAGCAAATAGTCCGACAAGAATCTTTTTTCCGAATTTTTTGGTTGAATTTAGTATGGAAATAATTCAAAGACTCTTATTGAACTATTTTTATTTAATAAAATTAAACTGTTACAAAAATGAAATAATTTGGGAATGAATACAAATATTTTTATATAAATCTATGTAAGATTACATATCTATCATTTTGTGCTGTCAAAAAAACTCAAATTTAAGTTTAAGGCAAGAATTTCAATGCTGATTTTATGTCATAAATCTATCTGCGTATTATTCAAAGGAAATGATGCAATTAATGTCGTAAATGTGATTGAACAAACATCATAAATCAATGAAAATGTATGATTCATATCTTTCCATTAGATTTTGATCATTGAGAGCATAAAAAATCACCTAAAAACTTAAAAATTTAAAATTCTTTCAGGCATAATTTTATGGATTCAGTCAAAAAACATAAGTGACTTATGACTCCTACAATCGATTAATCATTAAAGGGCAAGTAAGCATATTAATTGAACAATATTATGAAATATGCCCCAGAAAGAAGACATTTCACAATGTTAGTCTTATCAATAGCAAAAATTAAGCAATCAAAGCATATTGTCTCTTAATTTGACATCAGGAACAAGTGTCAAACATTAAAAGTATGATTAAGTTAAAATTGAAATTGCATGTTTATAAACTATGCATAATAAATTTCAAAATGTTTCTTTTGTTGATTTTGAAAAATTATCTAGGAAATTATTTTTATTTCAATAATTGCGTATTTGTTTGAGTTAAAAAAATTCAAGTCTCGCTATTCTTCAGAAACCTTTAAACTGAATCAATTATCAACTAGTAGTCCAGATCGATAAAAAGAGTAATGCTATCGCTTAATTTTATATTTAAAATATTAGTGCCCATTATTGAAATTGCATAAAATCAAAAGTAAATAAACAAATTCAAAACTGAAATCCGCAAAAAATCATTTTCAATACAATCGCGGGTGATTTCAGACACGTTTTTCCCCTCTTTGCATAACTTTTTTATCGCCGAAAAACAATCAATTATAAAATAGGATTATCCCTTTTTAAAATTTAAATCTTGTTCAAAAAGAAAATTATTATTATTATGAGCTATATCTAATTCACTTCAAATATGCTTCTTTTTTAAAGAAATCATATGTTAAAACCTCATTCATAATTTCGTATTGTTCGATTTGTTGGAAAATGTGTCGAATTGAAATTTGATTTTAAATTGATGGATTGGAAAATTGCATTGCTATTTTCTTATTAATATGATTATTTATGAAATTAGTTTTTAGCGGTAAAAACTTGTGCACAGATGGGAATGGAAGAAAATGATCTCAAACCGATCTCATTGGTGACAACATCACCTTCATCAGCTGTCAGAAAAGGTAAACAAAATCACTTAGAAGTTTAGAAAGAACGTTCTTTTTCTAACGGTGTTGTTAACAAGTTTTAAAAAGATATGATCAAAAAATTATGAAATTTATCGTTTGTAAAACAAATTCACTACTAGTATTGCAGGATTTCTTTTAATTTAAATCTTTATTCGTTATTATTCTTTACGTTTTCTTTTATTTTTTACTATTCTTTTTTTTTTAAAATCATTACAACTGATTAATTCATGAGGTAACATCTGAAACACAATTCTCACTGTAACAATAACTCAGGTTTATTTCATTTTTATACGCTACTTTAATTTTCTTTTTGAAATCATTTAGCTTATAATTTGCAGACTTTTCCGAATCGATGGAACTGAATGTCGCACAGGTATGGCCATGTCGATTATGCGGTGTAATACTTGGTATATGTCATTTACCGCTCGGCATTGTATTACTTATATTCGATGTTGTTACCAATAATATCTCGGAAACAGCGTTTGCTATAACAGCATCACTGTCATTTATTATTTGTGGAATTTTCTCATTTATTTCGGCAAGGTTAAATTTTTTCTCCAATAGAAAGAGAAAATATGAATATTAAAGAATTATCTCCTCCTAGACATTCAATTTTAATCCATTCGATCGTGCTGAAATACGATTAACCAAAAGCAGTTTCAGGAGATTAGATCGACCAGCGCAACTGTTATTGCTATTTTTTTCAATATTTTCCATGGCAATGAGCATAACAATGTTTATTGATAGCGCTGCTTTAATCAATTATAATTGTGATCGAGGGAAGTGTTATGAAGTACTAAGTAACATTCACGTTGTTCTGCTCTGCTTCGGTCTAGTCGAATGTTAGTTAAATAGATTATTTTTATGAATTATCTGTTACGAAAATTCGATCATAAAGATCAACGCTTGATTTGAACTTATTCCTCCATATCTTTTCATCCACCTGTCACACCATTTTTTGTCATTATGAGATATTTGCTTATTTTGAATAGTATTTTACTATTTCCTCTCATTAATTCTAACTATACAAAAGACTTGCAAATTGTTAATATCAATGAAGCTTGCAAAAAAAACGTTTGTATTTCTTTTTAATCTCTAAATGTGATGCAAAATACGATATAATTCTACACTACACTAATTAAAAAAACAACAATATAGTAATGAATAATCATTTGACATGTACAACTGCGCAGCGTGCATGAGGATAACAATATTTTCTAATAATAACTAATTCAATTATTATAACAGTTACGGATGAATGAAAGTTATTACAATATCATGCAAGTTTGTACTTAAAAATCACACATAGTTAAATTGCGATAGGATTTATGATCATTCAAGAAAAAAATCCGAGTTAGTATCTAACAGTAAATGTGTTGAATTTTGGATTTTTAAAATACCAAAAAGTTTCAATTTTTCTAATTCTCCTTTAAATAAAATTATTTTATAGTACTAAAATTGTTATTTTAAGAAAACAAAAACGAATTTCAGTTACGATAAGCTTTACAACGATGATTGTTTGTTTTCGATCATTGAGACTGGCTTATCGAGTACGAAAAGCAAGCTCGCCGTACAGTACATTGATCGAAGGACACTATGATGCTTTTTATATTAAGCCAAGGTTTTTCTAAATTACTTTTTTTTTTCAAATGATTATTAGCAAAACACAAAATCAAAATCGCCGCTTTTAGTATAATGTTTATTACTTCTTCATTGCCAAAGAATATGGACTCAGAATGCGATGTTTAGTCTGAAGAAATTGCCGGTTTGAGAAAACGATTTGATAAAACGTTTCTATTTCTTTAGAACCAAATATATCAGGAATGGGGAGAAAAGTATTTATTCTTTTACAGGATAATGAACGCCAGCAAAAAGAGCCCGAAATATTGAGCAATGTCTTCACGTGACCAAAGACTTTGATAATGTTCTACTTTGCGATAAATAATCTTTCATCTCAACAAATTACAATACACCGCACAAAATTCTTTATAACATCTTTTAACTGATAGAAATAATTCATATCAGTTGAGTTCTGACAGATGCTCTATTCCGGTACAGTTTAGTGAGCAAATCGATACCGTCCCGTCTACGAATTGGTAAATAAAAGATGAATTTCTTTGAATTTGTTCAAATGCAAATCACAGTGCCTCGAGTTTATTTTTAAACAAGTAATTCATTGAATAGCAATGTAACTAACTTAAAAAAACAGTATTTCTCTAAGTTTTTTTTTCATAGATATGAATTCTAATTTTTATGGATATAAATTCTGATGTAAAAAAGAGCACTTATCATATCAGCCAGTATCATCATTCTCCTTCGGATTATAGTTGACAATGTTGACTGGGTCTATTTTAAGATCCAGTCAACTGTATCTTCATAATATGAGAAAAAATTTGTGCTGAAAGAGTTGCAATTCAGAATAGCAAAATTATTGGAATACACGCCAATAGTAAACAACAAGCTATTAAATTGTGTAAGAATTAGGTTAAGCTAATCTGAAATTAGAAATACTTAATTGCTATCGAAAGTTCAAAAATAAAAGTGATAAAATTAAAGAATGGGAAATGAATACAATGATGAAACGGTTACTGCACGATGACAGATCGATTTCTCATCACCTTTCAGATCTCCTTCAAAGTACATACCCTTTCATCTCGATAAATTGCACCTTTGACTTTGACGCGAGCAATTTGGACAGTTTACCAGATTTACTGGTAATTTATCATTAATAAAAATGATAAAATTAACTAGAAATATGTCCTCAATAACCCTTGAATAGTATTCAATTTACCACAAACATGCAAGAGAAGTACCATTCATAAAGTAATCAATAATACGGCTGCACAAGGAAATAAGTTTCATGAAGCGACAATGTGAGTTGCATCATGGTATTGATTAATTGAGCTTCGGCCGCATTCATATTGCTGTTATATCTGAGTTAAAAGGGTGGCTTATATTGATGGATGGATTTCGAAGAAGAAAATGAATGAGTGAGGCGTCAAAATGCCCAGGCCTAAAGGTGCGTCCACGCAGAACAGGCCTTTCTTCCGCTAAAGGTATTGAGTTGAAATTGGATATGTTCAGGGGAAGAGTAAGAAATTATCATCATTAGAAGCGACATAGGTGCAGCCTTTTTACTGAAATAAAAACGCCTGGAGAGGAAGCGTTTCACTCATTTTAAATCCCAGCCTAGAGTCATTAAAATGATGAAAGTAACGTTACAAAATTAAATCTAAATCTTTTTCAAAGATCTTTTCTGAGCTTGCTATTACTTTGCTGTACTGCATCGTATTAAAAGACACAACACAATATATACTCAATTTACTGCGCATGATTTTATTGTTTGCTCTCAATTACAGAAGTTGACGAAGGATTCTTTCTGGGCTTCATAACGTTTTTGCCTTCCTGGAAGTTTTGCGTTCTGTTATTGGCAAAGAAATAAATTTCATTTGAGAGCTTTGCGGCACTTTTTCTCGACGAGGTAGAAATTTCCGACTTACCGTAGTATTAACGATGACTCAGCACAGAAGATCTTGTCAGATTATTTGATACATCACTCTCGATGATGCATCCATCATTTGATACATAAGAATCAGGTCAGTCCAAAAAACGTAGTTCAGATGGGACTCATTGATGGTATACTTAGAACCTTGTTGTAAGTGGCACAAATATTGTCTCAATTGGCACGGTGAAATATGAAGTAAGCTTTAGCGCTTCATATTTTGTTGCTCTTCTGGAGACATCTATTATTTATTAATAATCCATCTTACTTCAACATAAAGTAAATTGGTGACGAACATGATAAAATGAACAAATGTTGAGTTTGGGAGGTGAATTTTTGAAGCTATAGACAAAATTGAGTTGCTTCAGAGTAGCCGTGCTTTGTATATCATTACATGGCGTTTACTCCGGAACGTGGTGCATTAATCGTCGATTCTCAGTATGAAAATGAAGATCAACAATTTTTGGAGGAAATACATCTATCGAAAAATAATTGTAATGGTGCGGACAATAGTTCTGTTAATAGCGATCACGCAAGCAGTGGCTTCTACAGTCGCGATTATTCACAGCAATCCGGCAAGACATATACACGATTGCGAACAATCAAAACTGAACCAATGGATTATGATGAACAAACTTGTTCGGAAAACGGTTTTTTCTTCTTTCTCATCTTCAACTATCTTTTGCTAATTAGTAGTCCAGTTTTAAGTATGAGGATCCCTGCAAGGAATTAATGAATTTCTTCTCCATAGCTAATTCATAGCTCGATCAGTTTGTTGGATATCCAAAGTCCTTTGGATTTGTAACGAATGACTTAGTTTTGGAGAATTAATGTACCGTTCCATATATTCCTTTAGCAGTCTGATCTTTGTATCAGATTTTAAAGTCGAATTAAAGTTAGAAACTTAGCCATAAAGATCTTGTAGTTAGTCAATAATTTAACGGAGTTTAATTTACTGACTGATTTATAGTTTTTTATAATTCTTCATCAAACATTTTTGGAAATTTAAATTCGAGATCAATAACTCGAAGGAATCGCCATAAATTGTCAGTAGCCATTCTCCAATTCTGCTCCAACCACTGTATTTTTCAGGTCGATCTACTCAAAGTTTTGGAGAAGATAATGCATCCATTAGTGAGGCAAGTCAAGTAGATTGTTCCAACGGTAATCGATATATAGGGCATTCTCCGCGAAGTACAAAGAGCTACGATGTCGCAAAGTACAATGCTGTAGAAGGCACTAATCAAAATGGTGAAGGTACTTTGGGATTGAGTATAAATCGAGCGGTACAGGAACCAGGTCCGATAGGGGAGGATGTAGAGGAGAGACAAGATAACAGTGGTTTGCAAGGCTGTAATGGTGTTTCCGCTGTGTGGACACCACCTACATTTCGAACATATCGTAAGTATTGCAATTGTTGATTTCATTTCATGCAGTATTGATTTTAAGAATTTTAGCCAGCTTTAACTGGATTGATTTGACAGGATTTTTGGTTCTTCGAAAATGTTATGGCAGAAATTTCAGGTCCACCGTGTTCCATAGATTGGCGACATCCGCGGGTAAGAGATATCTTACGTGACTACAGGACCCAAAAAATTAACTCACGTGAAGGTGCTGAACTGATCACAAAAATAACAGGCAGTCCAGTATCTACTACAACAGTAAGAGTTAAGAGCCGAATGTTGGACGAATTGGTAAGCCATCTTTCAATTTTAATTTTATTCAACATTTTACTTTCCATGTATATTTTAGCTACTTTTCTCAAAAACACTTGTGTGTTTGCACAGTTGTAAAGCAACCACAAGAATAAAATTTAACTTATTAAAAATTGAAGTCATCTGTGATGATTTCGATTCTTAATATGTTCCAATTAACCGATCTGATCAAAATATTGGGAAAGATATAGTCGGTTTGAACTCATAAAATCAGCAGGTCCTTATATTATTAATTCTTCATACCACAGATATCATAATCGCTTTCTTCCTGAAGTTGCAAATACTTCATTATCTTCGATGTTTTCAACATTTTTGTAGATTCAAGTTTAAGGTCCATGTACTTCTCAAAGACTTAATGTGTTTGAGTTTATTACCCTTCAAAAGTGCAGATTTTTTGAAATTCCTATAAAGAATGTGTAATATCATAAATTCATCTGAGAGCTTCACTTTTGCAAAACTTTCTCTCTACTTGTCACAAATAAAAGTACTGTCATAATTATTATTTTGATTTTCTTTGCATTTTAAAAATGGGAAACTTAGAATAGTTCCATTTTGAATGCAAGTTAAGAAATGAAGTTTTGATACCTCTGTAATTAGAATATTGATAAGTGAATGAAAGAAAAATGTTACAAAAATATGAGTAAACTTTTTATTTTTAATCATGATTGTAACATAAATTTATTCTTGTGGTCGGCCATAGGTAATTGCACATACTCAGCAGTGCAAACTTTTTAGAATCTCTTTCTGATTTATGAAATGGGTGATAAAAAAGATATCACCACACTTTATATGAAAAATTTTTTCTAGAAGAGAATAATCGAAGTCATTTATATCAGTGAGTTTATTTTCGATTTTATATATAGGATGCACAATGTGCAGAAAACGGTGTTGAGTCAAGATGTGGCTGTGAGGTTGGAGGCAGTGATGGTGCAGATGCTAATCAATCATTACGAGAAAATGGAAGAATCAAATTCCCAATGAACAATGTGAACAAGGCTCTAATTCCTGGCGTCAATGCTCCGATTGTGTAAGTTTAGTTGCTTGCTGTTTGCTAAGTGTAGATTACAGAAGAAAAGTGTGGTAATTTCGCTTACAACTACATAAGAATTTTGCAGTCACTTTCAACTTATCCATATCTGAGTGGTAGTTCAGACTAGTGTAAGCCTGATTAGAAAAAAATAAAGAAATACCAAACTTAAAAGATTTAAAATACTGATATTTATTGCGATAATTATGTTTTATGATATGAAAGTAAATTTTCCTGCCATTTCTCCTTTTTCACGCTGGTTCAAAGAAGCTTTGAAATTTACCAGATCACATTTGGGGATGTGGCACAATGAATTATAGGTTTGACATATAGCTGATGTACATTAATTTAAATGTCTCAAATTAAAACCAATGTTTCAAATTAAAACTCTTTAGAGCCCCGCCCAATTCTCCATACTATCTATCTTTTTCACGCCGCTTCAAGCAAACTTCACTGACAGTACCTCTCAATCCGGATGAGGTTCGGCTCTACAGGCATGCATCCCATTCAAAATCTGGACGAACAATACATTTCAGATGTTCGCGCTGTGATACTCTACATCAAACTTATAAAAGTGGTGAGCTATTTTTCTTTCATTTTTCTGGTTTATTTCCTATATAAAGTATATTGTTGATTCATATTCTAGGTGAAATTGCACGTATAAAAATGGTAGATGGCGTTGTTGTTAGCCAGTTATATCCAGTACATCATGAACGCTGTAAACCAATAAGACTCGTGGAAGCCAGAGCAAAAGAAATCGAACGACGTTGCCGAAAAGATATAATTCTAGGAATGAATCCAAAAGAGGCCTGGAAAAAGGTATATCTTTGAAATTTTTTGTGCTGCAGTCAGTTTGAAAACATTTCCAGCTGACCGTTATACAAATTTATTCGAAGCGTGCTGCATTAACTGAATTAAAAAGATCTGATTCCATTGCACACATTTATGATTTTGCTGAATGTGTGTAAAATGAGTAGATTTGATAATACTTTCCAAAATACTCATTTTCTCAAATTAATTCATAAATTTTATGAGCAACGGATGTAATTTTATAAAAGTTTCGAGCTATGACACCTTCTTCATGTAAAAATGTTAGGGACGGAAAGCAGCTATTTCGGAAGCAACGGCAGCTGGTTTCCCTGTGTATGGTCCTGGTTCTATACTGTCTGCGTTTCCGGAATGGGATAAAGTAAAAGCACTTTTTGGTGCCTTACGCGCAAGATATATCAGAAGACAGATGCATCTCAAACAGCGCATGGGCGGCAAAAAAAGTTTCGACAATGATGAGTGTGTTTATCTTTTAATTCCCTAAATGTTCTCCATCTACAATAACAATTTATTTTAAGAAAAATTTTGGGCGTATAATTTTTGCTTTTATATATAAACTATTTTATCAAAATTTATATTGTGTAAATTTCAATATTTAGAAAGAGAGTGGAGACTGCTGATTTTGACATGGCGGAAGTTGCGCGACCAAAAAGAGCATGGATTGGACAAGGAGGAACCTATGCTAATGCAGTGTAAGTTCATGTTGTAGAATTTTAGGTTTCACAATTTTAATAGCATTCACGTTGTCATCTGTAATAAATTTTCTCAATATCAGTTTAATAATAAATCTAAGGTTTATCTGTTAATGTTATTCAAAACGATTCATTAAAATTGATAGAATATTGCAGAAGGCATGACGATGGTGCGTCAACAAGTGGTTTGGAGAATGTAGCTGTTAGTGAAGGTGAGGAAATTGTGGGTAATGATTTCGAATTGGACGATTTTGAAGAGGAGTCACTGTATAATTTTATGCAGAATGCTGGGAAAGTTGCAAATTTCAATCAAGCCTGCAATATTTCAAATAATACTGTGAACGGTGCAGTTCCTAAAAGCTCTTTAAATGGGTCATTACCACCTACATCTACTTTTACGCCAGGTATCATTGTTCATCCGATTCTTTTTTCAAATATAAAATTCTAAATATGTACATCTTTCTTTGTAAAAAATTTATTCTAATGCTACAATATTTCAAAGAGGTAAACTATTAGAAAATGAACTCGGTATCATATCTTCTTTTCTCCATCTGTCGTTACCTTTATGGCGATCTTGATCTATGTGTAGACAAATGATTTTATAGTGCTGATATTATACTGATAAATTTTGTTACTGTTATTTATTGATTCTTTATTTTTATAGAGCTCCACAGTTCATTTCTTTTGATCTGCTGATCATCATCATTCCTATTAGATTTTCGGCAGAGACTACATTGATTATTTATGAATGTTGTGTTTTAGAAGCAACAGTTGTAGATGAACGGCAGTCTGATGCTCGACAAAATATCATCAAGCAAGGAAATGGTACTATAGATTCTGATAATGCCAGACTGGCGTATGAAGTGCAGGAAGTAGAGCGCGCAATTGCCAGAGCAAGTATGCCGCTTGAACGAACTTTCCCAGATCAATTGAAGTTGGTTTTAATTTTGATAATGAACCATATATTTCAAAAAGCTAAGCTTTATATCATTTTTCAAATCGTTGTGGTCATTATTGCAAGCATATAAAGAGTTTTTTTCGTGTCTCAATAATGAGTGTAATGTTAGCGAAAAAGACACTACTAAAAATTAGAATTCATATAAAGTAGAAGTCTCGAGAGTATGTTACTGAATTAATTTTTTTTATATGTTACTAAACGCTGTTTGTGTATGACTTAATTGATTTATTAGTCAGTTATGCAATTTCTTTTCAGCCGACCACCAATCTTGACACCATCTCATTCCAGTCCATCATCCAGTGTTCTCTCTGTAGAAGGTCTATCGGATGCTGAAAGGAGAGGTGGACATCCGAGTAAGTTCTATCTTCGAAAATGTGGCGTGTATTGTTGTATTGTTGTCATTTTGGAACGCGCGCTTATGAAGCACATTTGTATTCATGAAAATTTTGAACTACAATTCAGCTGTCTTTTAAATGCATTTTGTTTCTTCACTTTGCAGGAAAAAAACGAAAGCGATCAGAAGATCCAAAACCAGGTCAAGATTACATTACATTTGTGTCTCCAGCTGGCGTTTTACCATGCGCAGAAAAAAGTTAGTTATTTTAATATGAAGTTTTCAGTTATATTGGTTCGCAGTGAATTAATTTGATTATTCATTTCTAATGACTTCTCCCTAATCACGAATAGCTGGCTCATTTTACTGGTAGCGCGCTTTAAGAAATTACAATCATGATTTGAATTGTGACATCATGCTACAAATGATTATCAAATCTGCTTATGAGTGCGATTATGAATCTTCATCTAGCTCGAGCATTAATACAATTATCTGAACATTTTTTCATTTTTACATGGATTAGACTAATTGAAAGAAAAGGAGAAAGAAGTTTCAGAGAAAAAATACTCTTTGGAAGATGCGACGGAGAAGCTGAAGAAAATAGAGTTATATATTGCTCAGTATAATGCGCTAAGTGATAATAAAATTGCCACAATACATGTAAGTTGTGGCGGTGATTTGAAGTTGCATGGTAGTAAATATATCATCGATGCTTGTTTACATTCATCTGTTATCAGAGATTTGAAAAAAAAATGGAGGGAGCGAGAAGAGGTTGACGAGGAAGGCGTCGATGATGATGAGGTAACATTTTGATTTGTTTTAATGATTTTTAGAAAGCTTCAATTAAAGATGCTTGTTCAAATTTATTAGATATTAGTTGCAGTCAAATTTTTCAATTGATTTGACAATTTCCGTTTCTTCTTTTTAGTTTTGTTTGCTGAATACTTTTTTAAATGAAGAAAAAAAAACTCCACACCATACAATTTGATATGTGAAATGGCTAGTTATGTTCCTTTTTCAGCTTGTTTCAATTCCGCTGGTTAGATGTTTACCCAACTTAGAAATTAATATTGCCAACACTTCCGATGTACATGCAATGCTCAGTGGATTCTTGGAAGCAATGCATTATCCTTGGAAGCCGTGGTTTGGTGTGTCGCATAATCCAGATTACTGGCCGCCATCTGTTCCATTTTACGATCCAAATAACGATCTCTTGAGTTTGAGTAATTTTAAACAGCGAAAAGGTGAATTCAAATTCTTTGTTTATCGATCGCTTGAAAAAGCTTGAACGTGAATTGCAGTTTGCGACGTCTGCTTTTTATAATGCTAGGGTTATATATATTTTTATTTTAACGTCTTAACTCCTAATCGACGATTTAATTTTCCAGAAATTGAAAAGCATTCTATTGTGGATCTTGAAAGAGATATTTTGAAATATGCTTTCAAACATTATATAAGCTTTATGGAATATCATTTTGGACTTTCTGGGCCAAGTAAGGAGTTCTTAAGTTTTATATTTTCCATTTTTATTCGCTTATTAAACGATGTAGAATATGTGACTTGAAGTTTCTGTAACTTGATTTGATACATCTTTTTATTTCAGGATATTGTTTTTGAATCATCATTTTATTAATTTTCTGATTTGAATTTGAAAGGCGTCTTACTATGACATTGTTAACTGGAATAACTGATATTATAGATTATGATGATGATCCACGAAATGTTAAAGAAGAAATAAATACAAGTGCAGGAATAGTGCGGCAGTGTACTGTTGGTGTAAATGCCAATTTGCTGCAAAGAGACTCTTCAAGTTCGTTTTTTTTTTGGAATTACTATATTTAATTTATGGGTGACATATAAAATCAACATGAATCATACAATTTATTTCAAGTAGAAAGTTCACTTTTTCAGTGTTTTGTCACTGTTTAAGATTTTATATAATGTAGGAGTTGTTCCACCTCTTCATGCGCAACGAACGTATTTTTATTTTTCTTTTCACCTTTTATTTCTGTTGCTAGTAAATGCAACTCTTTTAAGCTGTTTCGGCATCAGAAATGCAAAATATGGACACAGCGAAAACGCAGTCAGATAAAACTAAAGAACCAGCTCCATCTACTGGTCTCACTTCTGGGTTATCACATCCCTCAGCAAGTAATGAAGCTGACGAACAATGTTCAGATCCAACAACATCTTCAACAATTACTCCAACTATTCCAAGTTCTACAGCATCACCTCTTTCCAGTGAAAGGATTTTGGAGGATCAGTTGTCACTTTTTCGCAATTCAGGTAAGCTTAAATATTATACTATTGTGTATGAGTACTCTGTAGGAATTTTTATGTATGTTCTTATATGCAACTAAAAATATTTTAATATTCATCTGTCACTCGAGTTCAAAGTTGTAACAACTATCATTTTAGTTTTGCGAATTCGTTATGATCAAATGGGTGCAGATGTGCGGACGATTTTGGAGTCAGTAATCAAAATTCAAAATCATTCGACATGCAGAACTTTGGTGGTTTTTGTGGATGAACGAAATAAATTGAGCTTATCTGGTGACAAAACTTTGATCTCGGCCTTTTTAAGCTCAAATATACCTCAGTGTCTACCTTCAGCCATGAGCAACGGTTTTGATAATGTTGGTACTTTGTTTAGCGTTCTAGTTTTTTTGTGTTTTGGTATTTTTAGACTTGTTTTTTCATCGTAGTGATTACCAGAAAATAGTGATGTGATTATATATCAGTTTTATTCGGCCAATATTTTTTAGCAAACTATAACACTGCCTTTGCTTCAACTTTACGAGGATGCCGTTGTCGATGGAATGACTGAGGGGCGAACATTAGGTAAATTGCTTGATTAACTAATATTTCCAGCTCCTTTAATTTTAGATAATTTCAGTATATCAGTGAACTTTTGAGACCTTAAGAATAAGTCTTGACGATTTTACTTTGACTGGCTAACTTTTTTGAATGATTAGGCTTCCTTTCTGATTGATATTTATAAAAGTCGATTTATCATTCACATGGCTGGCACTCCTAATCTATATTTCAAGTTATTATGTTATGAAATATAATTATTATGCCGAATGTTGGCGCTTTTAATAAATAGTTTCATTAGGTTTAATTCTTATTTTATTAACTTTATTAGCATGTTTTGTTGCAATATTGCATAATGACATCAATAGCTTATGGTATTGGGTAATTCAATTTTCTTATGGTATTGGATAATTCGATAATTCAATTCATTTAATTCTGTCTACAATCTCTTCGTTGAACAGTCAACAGTTACTCTTATATTTCTCATTATTTTAAGATTTATTGGATGATATGATGATGCATGTTAATTTTCCATGGGCGGATCCGTATGATGGCACTCAACCAGATTGTTGGCCGCCTGAGATACCTTTCTGTCCACCTTGGTCAAATAATGGAAGAGGAATATTGAATCGACGAATTGGTTATTTCTTGTTTTACTGAATTGTATTCTTAGAAACAGTTACGAATTTTACCAACCTCTTTTCTTTCTTAAGGTGCAAATACTCCTGGTCAAGCTGCTAAAGTGGTTCTTAAAAGTGTTCGATGGTTTTATTCCGAAATGCTACTTGAGAAATTGAAGTTAGAGGATGGTCTGAAGAGGATTGCTCCGTAAGTAATATTCTTTTTGAAAATAGCGATAACTTAGTATGATTTGTTTTTCTTCACATTCATTACCATTTAAAAATCAACTTTCACAGTTAAACTTTCTAGTTTCTATTATAGTAATTATTTTGAATTCATGCTAAACTTCTTATTTTGCTTTACCTTATTTGTTTTAGGTCATTAGCTGAATTGACACATAATCTTCTTCAAGAAAGGAGCAGTGCTTTACAAACACCCATTCCTCGTTCAGCTTCTCAAGAAATAACTCAGTTCCGTGTTCCTGGCAAAGTTGTAAAGCGGAGTCCATCTCAGCGCTCTTATTCTTCGCAGTTACGAACTTTATCTCATCATTCTGGTTCATCACAAGAATTGCGAATGTATGATCAGGAGCCACTTGCAACACCACCACCAGAAGTACGAACTGATTTCACGTTTCAAGATTTGCCTTACCGTGGTCGTACAGCTCCACTCAGTCCTTCGCAACATTCGGTTTCATCTCAGGAAACTGTTCCATTTCGTCTACCACCTCATCATCCGTTAGCAAACGCACATCTTACTTTGCAACAAGCCGTTTCTGAAAAGCGGTACAATACTCAAAATTATGAAGCACGTTCAGAAACTTATATAATGTCTGATGATCGTGATGTTTCCATGATGACACCTGCTGAATCTTGCATACATCAAGAAGAAGTGCCTTTCCAGAATTCAAAAACAACAGTGCCAGCTCATTCTCATGTTTCAATACCATCACGAGATTTCAGGATGCCGCGGATTCCATCTCAGCAAGTACTGACTTCTGAAGATCGTCCATCTAGTTGGACCTCACACCATTCTTCAGCAAGTTCTGGATCACGATCTTCACAAAGCAATAAAAGTTCGCATCATTCTAGTGTGCATTCTGAGTCGCGTGGTTCAGTTGCGACATCGTCGAAGCAATTTATTACTCCGGGACATTCTTATCAAATACCTGCGTATAACAAACCAAGCGCAGTGAGGTTGCATAACCAAAAGGAGCAACAACAGTATTCTACGACATCAATAGTTGCCAAGTCGCAGCACGATCCTTACGCAGTTAAAGAAGATTCTGTTGCAGCAAATCGGTTCCGTGAGGAAAGTTCTTCGTTTCGAACCACAACGCCATGCTCTAATTATCCCGAATATTCTGCTTCGTCACGTGACGTCGTTGTACAGGGTTCATTTGTTAACGATGTGGTAAGTCCACAGCTTCATTTTCAACAATCAGAGTTGGCACGAGATTTTGTAACGCCGCAGATCCCACCATTACAACAGCAAGAGCAACAATCGCAAGAGAAAGGTTTTATAAGGGTTAGTAGTTTATTTTAGATCATTTTCTTTTTGAAGTTCATCAAATCAACTGATGAACAAAGTCGCTTAATGATATGCGTCTGTGGCGTTTGTTGTAATGGATTAAGCCTTACTAAATACTTCGTAAAATATAAAAAATTGGAAATACTTTTCCTATCAATGGAAAAAATGCTGTATGTATCATCATGATTTCGCTGGGAATTTAAGCACTTGAAAACTTGTGTTTTCTAAATATATTCTAAAAAAGAATTCCTTTATTTAATATGGAACTTTTTGAGATTTGTTATAAAGAATCTTCCTATAAAGGTTTAGTCTCGAATTTTAAGATATTTTGAATCAATGGGTGAAACGGTTAAAGTGAAACGTGGCATATACAATTTTTGTTCCACGAAATAATTTAAAAAAAAATTAGTTATGAGAACCAAAATTTGAACAGTGAACGGTTTGTGTAATTGTGTAATTTCAGGTATTATGTGCCTGTGAGCCGGGTGTGGAATTGAACGCAAATGATTGCGTACGATGTAATCGTTGCCACAAAAATTTTCATTCTAAGTGTTTGCCATTAAAACGGAGAGTTAGCAATTACTACTGTGTGTCTTGTTATGAGAGGTGATGGATTCTTAATTTAAATTATCAAAATTCCTAATTAATGATGTTTCCAATTGTTCTGGTTTTAAATTTACTTCATGAAGAATTTAAAACATGGCTCTGTGCTGATATATTCTTGCTAGTTTAATCTATTAATATCAATAGTTGTGATGGTGGATGATTATATGTTATGTTTTTCTTATTTGTTATCCACTTTCTATGCTTTACAACACCGATTATATAACGACGATTTCATCTCATATTCATAAAACTGGACTGCTGATACAAAATCGCAACTTAAAAGAAGTTTGTCGCTGCTGCGTTCAAATTTTTAACTGGCCCTATTAAGATTGAGCAAACAAAATTTGTATTGAGTTCGATCAAAATTGGAAAATTGTGAGAAATGCGTCATTTTTATTCCGGTAATGTATATCATTACTTTTTTGAAATGTTTTTAATACTGCTTTTCATACTTTTTTATAAGTTTTTATATGTTGTACACGTTCCATATGTTTCATAGCTTTTGTATATTTATTGAATTCGTATATTCGTACTTTTGTATGTGATTTTATTTCGCAGTACAAATTCATATTGATGATAAACTTGGTAAATTCAAGTAAGATTTTATGTTTAACCTGAAGAACCCATTGAAGCTATTGGTGATATCGACTAATTATTTGATATGGAATGTAATTCGAAATGCTGAATTTCATATACTGCTGTAAATGTATTCCAAGTATAAGTTTCCCTTACTGTAAAAATGAACAGAATTTTGGTTTGTAAAGATTACTGAAGATGAAATTGATGGAGAAAAAGTGTTTCAACAAGTGTGAAGCTAATATAGTTTCACATTTTATAGATTGATGGGCTTTAGGAGGGAAGCAATAAAAGCGTCCACGCTATGATGTGAATTTGAAAGAAAGAGCATGTTTGTCATTTGATATTATGCAAAAATTTTTTACGACAAATTTATTATCATAAACTACAAATAGTTGTTAGACATTATTTATGAACAATTGTATTATCTCCTCAGTGCGACGGTTTGTCGTTTCCCTACTAAGTTTGTTGCGACCATTCTTTTTCATGTTTGCAAAATGGAAGTTGAAATTAAAATAGATGGTTAATCATTGTGTTGAATAGTTTTGTTTACCAATAGCATTTTTTAATGAATCCGAATATGATGGCACTCAGAAATCGATCAGTACTGAGAAATGGCTCGTCAGGCGGAGTAATATCAGTCTTTCGTGTGATAAATCCCACCAATAAGCCTGCAAGTTGGGAAGTAAGAAAGATTGGTGAAAAGAAGCTTTGAGATTTTGTCAATTTTAGATTTCAATTAAGAATCTTCAAATTATTTACAGCTTAACAGCTCTAAAATAGTGAATGCACAAAAAAAAAAATAACAATCGAAACTGAAACAGAAGGACTAACATAAAATGTATCTGATTAAACTATTGTCTGTTGTTGTCATTCTTGTGGCTTGTAGCCAAGCGGCGGAGCATCGAAATATATACTTGGACGAGTGGGATATTGAAAAAGACTGGACGCCACATTTTGGACCATGTTCGTTCTTTAAATTGTTTCTTTAGGCCTAGCCACGAGCCAGAGTGTTGTGGATTGTGTGTGTGTGTGTGTGTGTGTTTTTTCATTCCATTGGAATTAAATTCCAAATAAAGGAATTAAAGTGAAGGATTAAATACAGGGAATGTAAAAAGGAATAGAACAAAATAAAATAAATTAAATTCAAAGAAAAATGCTAACAAATGTGATCAAATAAAGATGGAGTAGAGTATAAAAAAATGGAAAACTAAATTCTATTGAAGTGAAGTAAATCAAATTGATTTGAATCGAATTAAATTGAAACAAACAGTGATGGAATTCGATGAACTGATAAATGGAAGCAATTGATTTTTTTAAAGTAAAATAGAATTGAAAAATTTTTTGATAAATTGTTATTAAAGGTAGGACTCATTTTATGTTCACATTTTCGCCATGTGAACCGAAAACAAAAATGTTAGCATGCTGTCGGAGTTTTAATCCGTTTGTGCTCTTTCTTCTTCTCCTCCTCAGTCTAATCGTTGCAGCCATCGGTATGTCCATCTATTAATACTAACAAAAATTTCATCTTTAAGAGCTTTATTTATTAAAGAATCGAATAACTGGTCAACATTGAAATTACAAATTATAGATGCACGTCATCATCACCGCCTGTTGCAACGTATTTTCAAATGTAATCGAAAGATTTGAATGTGACATATTCTATATTATTATATCATTACTCAACTGATATGATATGCTTTTTTTGTAGTACCGATAATAATGCTATGCATAATTTGTCCACCATGGCGTGTTCTGTGCGAATGTTGTTTGTGTTGCGAATGTTGTGCCATCGATGAAAATGGGAACTTTATTCATTTTGAAGAAGAGGATGAGAAAACTACTGAGGAATTCGATATCAAAATAGAGGAGCAAAGTTCGATTAGTAGAACAGGTCATTATAACCAATTTACTTAACTGAACTATTTTAAAATATTTCAATAAGTTTTCATTATTAGCTTTATCATTTCAATACTCTTCTAACTGTCCAAACTTTAAAAAAAATCAAAACAAATGACCGAACATAATTACTTTGTTTCATCATGAAAAAAAAGACGAAATTTACAGATTATCTTGTTTTACCTTATTATTTTTTCTAAATTACTCTGTGCTTCCTCTCGTTCCATCTAAGAAACAAATAATAAACTGGAAAACAAACGACTAAACTGTATAACTAAACCTAAAATGTAACAAAATTAAATATGAGCTAAATTTTGGGGAAGGAAGTTCGAGAATCACTGCTTAAAATACGGATTAAAGAAAGATGAAAATTCAAAAACTAATCGGTATTTTAACAGTTTTCTAAATAAACTATTTCAGAAATGACGAGCAGAAGATAAAGGGTATTGTAGAAAATATTTAAATAATTTCGAGATGCAAAATACTGACGAACATGATGTCAATGTGAAGCATTTCTATCAACTGAAAGCTATTTTGAAATACAATTTTATCCATGTAATTTCTACAATTTTTATGATCCTTGTGTCATTTCACATAAAGCTTCTCTTATTGGAAGATTTAAAATTCAAGCCTTGATTGAAAATCTGAAAAAAAATTCAGAAATTCAAATTTTCTAGGAAAACAACAAATTATTACTTGACATTTATATGCTATCCGCAAATGGAAAAAATATGCAAATTTTGTTACTGATATTCAAATGCACAATTAAAATTTCATAGTTACTAAAAACAATTGCTCAATGAGTTCTCAAAAAATTAATTCAAAAATTTCTTAAAAATTGTGCATCAATTGATGACGATTGACATTTCATTAATTTTTGCAAATATATTAAAGAAAACAAATGGTCCATTTGATTAAGAAAAAAAAACTGTTGAACTGTTAAATTCATTTGGTCACTATATGGATGAATAAATGACAAGTTCACACGATTTGGAAGATTTTTTCAATTTGAGAAAAATTTTAATTCATTAATGTTCCAAGGGAAAAAATGAAACAATAATTGAAGGGAATGATGGATTTTCTTTAGTAGTTAATTAGCTTGTTGTGATCTTAAGGTCACAGAAACTTACCACTATTGTTCATTGTATTCGAAACAGTTTCACACATCTGATCCTCTTCATGAGAATTTCCTTCTCTTACTCTCTATTTAAAATGTTCAGGTATCACTTTGAAAACAGTCGAAGATTACTTCGTCATTCTGCGATGCAGAAGGTTCTAAGAGAGGTGCAAGAAATGTAACCTCAGAACAGATAGGATGTCAAAAGGATTCAGAAACCATTCTCGTAATGGAATCTTCAGAATCTTCATTTACTACTATCTATCATTTAATCACTTTCCTCAGCTTAAATTTCATATCGATAGATCTATTTTCTATATCAGTTCCCGGCAGTTGAAGTGCAAATGAGATCAAATTTATTAGCTTCCTCGATAGAGAAAATCGTGGCTTTTCTTCTAGCCAATCAATTTTCAGCATTTTCCCTCTCCTTCATATTTTTGCGTAAAATTTCAATTTCTTGAATTCGTTCATTTTATCATATTTTTAAAGAAAAACTATTTCAGCCTTGCAAACACAATAATTTTATCGTTTTTAATTTACTAACTGCATATTTATCATAAATATGTCTGTCCGTCTTTTCGCATTGATACTTCTCGATTGCTATTTTACGTTTGCAGGTGAATTTTTTGAAGCTTAAAACGATTTAATCTAATTTTTATTATTTAATAAGAAAAATCTCTTTTGCAATAACGATTTTACTTCGCATTACAAATTAATTCATAGATATTTGCTATGATGACATGTAATAATAGTTATACTTTAAAGTTTTTCTCATTAAATAGTAAAAAAAAATTAGAATAAATAGTTGCTATAAATTTTCTTATTTTAAAATTAAATTCAAATTTCAGGTGACAGTTTTGTTCAAACGATCATGATCACAGGTTACTGTGAGAAATTTAGCAATAATTTATGCGAAAATGGTGGAACATGTGTAAGTATTGGCACCAATGATTATAAATGTGTTTGCCTGAACGGTTATAACGGAAAGAATTGTTCAACAAACGAAAATGACTGCATGGAAAATTCATGCGCACCTGGAAGTACCTGTATTGATGGTATAGCTAAATATACTTGCACTTGTCCACCTGGAAGAATTGGTCTGATTTTTTCTTTTTTTTTTTGATATTAGCTTAATAGTAATGTGAATTTGTGCAGAGCTTAACTTACTTTTAACATAAATGAATGATCATATTCCCATACTTCAACATATTCCAAAACTAATCGTACAGAGATTTTTCATTGAATGATTGTGTTATAATGGATGCTTTGACATATCTGTGAGAATTTTATTGTTTACGCAGGTTTATTTTGTCATTTGGATGACCCCTGCATGCAAAAACCATGTGGAAATGGTTCCGAATGCATTGCAGACACTGCAAGTGGAGAATTTTCATGTAACTGTATGAAAGGTACAACGGGTGAAAATTGCGCCACTGATATAAACGAATGTATTGAGGTTTCAAAGTTTCATTTGTAAAATCAAATTTAAAATCTAAAAGTGTATGTGAATAGCTATTATGGAATTAAAAAAAAATAATGTAACACATTAAAGATGGGAAGAAAGAAAATATTTCAAAAATATTGAAAAAGAAAAAAGATAATATCTATATCATAAATAAATGAAATAAAATTACAAAATAATGAAAGAAAAATAAAAAATATTAATATTTTATGCTTTCAGTGTGCAAAAGATCAATGAATTTTACAGTTTAATTTTAGAGTGACAAATTATGCTTCAATGGCGGTATATGCGTGAATACATTTGGTTCATGGTATTGTGACTGTCCTGTAGGATATAATGATCCATACTGTATGATTCATGATAATCAATGTGAGCCAAATCCATGCCTTAACGGTGCATCCTGCCTTGATTATGGCAATCGTTATGAATGCATCTGTCAAAATGGTCATTTATTTTCAATTCCCAAAATTTTCGCAATAATGAAATTTTTATTTACGTTATTTTAATCGATTTTTTTTCTATAAAATGATTTCACATAATCAATTAGTTGACAATTTAACATTAAACATTTCATGTTAGTTCTTGCAGTAATAATGTTTACAGATTATTGATTAAGCAGATTGATAAGTTAACCGTGTTGTAATCAATGAATTATCAAGATTTACAGTGCACTGCAATGATTTGTACGGATTTGTTTTTAGCTTTCTATGGTACAAATTGTGAGAAGATGTGTCCACCGGGTTTTGAAGGTCGTATGTGCAAGCAGCATCGTATTACCCTGGACAATGACCATCTGGAAGAGTTGTTTGAGAAGCAAATTTGTTTGCTTCATAATTGTTCATCAAAAGCTAACAACAATGTATGTGATTCGGAATGCAACTATCCTGCATGCCAATATGATGGATTTGATTGCACTGCGCATTTACAACCATTTCGGCATTGTCCACTTCCAGATTTTTGTGGTCGAGTATTTCACGATAATAAATGCGATTTGGTTAGTAAATACTTTTCAACTTGCTTTTTAAGCTTTCTTCTCTGTTCGATCTCAAATTAGTCATACAATCCCAAGAATAGAATTGGAATTATCTTTGATTTTTTAAAGGTATGTTATCGTTCTGAATGTCTCTCTGATGGATTTGACTGTAACGAGAAAGGAGAAAAATGTTTGTTTGAAGATTACTGTTCCACTCGTTTTAATGATGGTTATTGCGATCAAGAATGCTTTGCCGAAGAATGCTATTTTGATGGTGCTGATTGTGCACAGGAAATTGCATATGATAAGGTTTTGTTGTTGATTATGCGTTAATGATTTCAGTAACATAAATAGGCATAGGAAAAATGACACAAAATGGGGATGCATAACGACCCTGATAATCTTTTTCCTAAAACGAGAAAAGTTACTATATTACTATACTGATAAAAGTTATTCATGTGGACCAGTTTCTATTTTAGCATCATCAGGTTACTATATTATTTCAAGAAAGTGATAACATGTGACGTGATTTAAGTGGGTCTAATCAATTCTTGTTGTATGCTAAAAATAACTTTTGATATTTTATTTCAGTTGGAAGGAAGTTTGAGCTTGATAATCCTTATGAAGCCAGATGAATTCTTAAAACATGCATCTGTCCTGCAGTTCATTTTGAGCCAAGGCATGCTGGCCAGAGTTACTATTGCTGTTGACAAATATAATCACAAGCGATTTTATTCATGGAAAGCAGACGCAAAGGGTTAATTATATCTGAACTTTATTAAGCTATCTCAATTGTTTTTGATATATTCATAGGAAATCCTCAGGTTGATGAAACAAATGGTTTGCTTTAAATTTCATTATTATATCACGTGCGAAATGACTTTTTAACTCTCATAAATGTTTCAATTCATGTTTATTTTGATCCTTTAAAATTTAGTTCGATTTTTAAACACATTTGGAAAGTAAATGTTGGGAAGTAAGAATTTTCTTTTTCTTATAGGACTGCATGGTACGAAGGTATACTTCAACGTTGAAACACCATGGTGTCATGAAAAAGCTAACTGTCAACATCATATCACCGATATAGAGCAAGCTGCTAATTTTATAGGTGGAATGAGTTCAAACCAGGCATAATACTTGTTCTATTTAAACAACTAAATTCAATTTATAAGAAAGCAAGATCAATAACTTGTAAATACTATAAAGAATTGCTAGTAAGTCATCAAAAAATCCGGGATTACCGCTGATGTTCGATGATTATACTTGAAAGAGAAGTTACGTCTTCTTCAGATGCTGTGGCCTATCGGTGCACGATTATACGCTGCTGAAGCCGAGCTATCAGCGAGTACCGCAAATTGGAAGAAATGGATAATTTATACGCTTTCCGGTTTTGTATTGCAAATATTTGTGATTGCCATCTTATTTACACTTCATAAAAATCTCAAACGTCAAAATATTGCGAGTCGACTACGAAAGAAAGTTCACGTGGCTGGAACGTGGTTTCCACCTACTCTTGACAATTGTAAATATCACTGATATAACATTCTATTCTGATAAATTTATTTATTGCAATTTCAGTGATTTTATACAAATGCTTTACTTTTTTCGTTTAATTTTGAAGTACAAAGCAATTCTATTTTATAGATTTTCCGCTGAAATTGCTTAAAGATGATTGTGAGCATAATGGAAATGTGGAAAGCAATGGTATGACGAGTGAAAAAATTAATGAAGATAAACAAAAGAATCATTTTACCGAAATTTATCTGATTCCTGATCCTGAAGATGAAAAAATATGCAAGAGAAAGTGGACTGTGCTTCATGACCAGGCTATGGATTCATTTCCTATTAAAACACCGGTGAAAACATTTATTTTTTTTGTGAAGTTTCTAAAAACTTGAAAAAACCGTAACAAAATATTTAAAATCATCTTTCGATGATTTTCTTTTTTAAATATTTTGTTATAATTAATTAATTATTAATTAATACTCATCTTCAATTTATTATTATTAATTAATACTCAGGAAGGATAATACGGTCATTCTCAAATTTTATTTCTCGCTATTCGGTAATTAACAAAAAAAAATTGTTTCAATTTCTATTACTTAATCAAATTTCATTCTTTTCTTCATATGGTAGAGATCCAACGATCAATTATGGACTATTGCTGAATTTGATATTTTGATATTTGAAGAGTTGTTAGCTTTTAGATCGATAAGTCACTTGCTAACATGAAAAGTAAGAATGGAAAAACTGCGCTTATGTTGACAGCGCTGAATCAGGAGAAAAATGAGGAAGCAAGCTGTATAGATGTGGAAAATCTATTCTTGGTTGGAGCTCTCATCGATGCGGAAGATGATTGCGGTGAGACGGCTTTAATTATGGCTATAAAAGCAGGACGTGCAGAAGTAGTAAAATGTTTTCTACGATTTGGTGCTGATATTACAGTATCAGACATTCATAATCGTACACCGCTACATCATGCAGCCTCAATAAATGCTGCTGATATTATTCGCATCCTTCTTGAAACAGAACAAATAGAGGTTTATTTTATCTCAAAAAAAATTCATATGAAAATCTTAAAAATGCTATCAATAAGAATAATGTTGAATTTTTTCTTTAAGAAAAAAAGGATCTTTGCTTTTTTTTTCTTCAGTCTTGAAGGTTTGAAGCCTTAATTTGAAGCTTGATAATCTTTTGGAATGAATTGTTAATCATTTTATGGCTTACCTTTTTCATTAAAAAATATATTTTTTTATATTTTTTGGATATCATTTGAAAATATCATTTTACATTTATTAAGGTAGATGCGATTGATGATACAGATTGTAGTCCATTAATGACTATAGCTAAGCTTGGCTATCGAGATCCCGAAGGGATTGCTCTATTGATCGATGCGGGAGCTGATATTAACTGTACTGGCAATCATATTAATGGTGAAACGTATAAAGGCAGAACAGCACTTCATTATGCTGTAATGCAAAGTAATCAAGAGCTGGCAAGATATTTGGTGGAACGTGGTGCTAATCTCAATATTCAGGATCATATGGTCTCTGACTATTCCGATAGTTTCAAAATTATAGGGGAGAAAAATTGAAAGAGTTATTTTAAATGATATTGATTTTTTTTTCACTATTAAAATAATGCGAAAATCGAATGCAATTTCATTTTCATAATCTGTTTCCTTAATTACATAATTGGTAGTTTAATTATTATTTTTGAAATTAAATACGAAAAGCCGACAAAATAACTTCTGAAATGTCAGGAAATAAAAGTGATATTCTTTTTTGATCTATGACGATTAAATGTATCGCCATGTAATCAATTTCTTCTTGCAGGGGCAAACACCACTATTTTTGGCTGCTTCTCAGGGTCATGTTGAAATGGTTCACATGTTAGTGACCGCTGGTGCTCGACGATACATTCCTGATAATATGGATCAAACACCAGAAGATATTGCCAGTTCCAAGGAGTACAAAGAGGTCATTCAATATTTCATAAATCTTCGAATGCAAAACGGTTCTGTAACAAATGAAAATGAAAAATCGAAAAAGAAAAGTGTGAAGGTAATTCTTTGCAAATATCATATATATTCGAAAAGTTTTATTAAATTTCGTCGTTTAATTTTTTTCAAAATTTCCAAAGGAATGTTTTTATTTCCATTCAGTTTTTGAATTTAAACAATACATTTTTTATTTTATATTAAAAATTTAGAAACCACGAATCATCGAAGTATCACCCACTCCATTGGAAATGGTATTAAATTCTGGCACCACAGCTGCAATGACACCCGAAAGTTCAAATTCATCGAATTCATCTACTTTGCTTGATCGTTCTAAAGAATGTTACAATTTTAATTCACATCTTCCAAATGAAACTACCAATTCACCAAATACAATTATTTCACAGCAAAATCCACAGGACTTTGTGCAGGTATTTGTAAATTAAAAATGTCCAATTTAAAAGCAAAGATTCCCATTTAATTATGCATTTCTGATTCAGAAAAGAAAAAAGTGAATCAAATTTCTACATTTTTTCAAAACTTAAAATTCGTTCAAAATGAAATTGATAATGCATCTTTCAGGTGCCGTATTCCTCCATGGATCATGCGTTTAATCAAAGCTACAATATGCAGAATGGCTGCCTAATGAATAATGAAAATAGACCGGTAACTTCCATACCTCATTTAGGATTCGAATATTATGTATAGCATTTGTAAGATATTGTGACAAAGGTATTGAACAGAGAGGTGAATTTTGATGAATACAAAATATTTCGAATCCTTTTGAAAACAAAATCTTTTATTTAATATTTTGCGGTGTGTGTAACAACTTATTATTCTTCTTCATGTCATGAACATTTTAGATACTTTTGTTGATTTTATCATTTTTCTTTCCTGAATTTCTCAGATTTACTAGTTAAAAGTATTCATTATAGCTAGAAAGTTATTATTATATTTAATCGCATCTTCTAAGATTCAAATATTACCGTGTGGAATGATTTTTTTAAATCTCTTCTTGTTCGAAGTAAATAAAAAGTGAAATGGAACGAGATTGAAATTGAATCGAAAAAAATAGGACATTTAGTTAGCGATTCTCAAAAGGTAACAGTAATATGTTATCGGTTGAATTCAGTAAAGCACTTTTATCAGTAGAATATCAGTCCGAATATAGTTCAGTAATTGAATGCAGTATTCCTCCCTTATCATTTATTATCATCACATTCATTTCTTCATAGCAGTGCTTGCCTCTTTTGATTGCTCACTTTGTAAATGCTCATTTTGCCATAATACATTGTGATTGAGTAATACTGAAAATGTGTTTTTTCGTTTTTTTAAAGCTATAAATTAAGCAATAATTACTTGCCAACATATTAATCCAAAACCTAAAAGAAGTTTAAATTCTGATTTAAATTATAAGATAATAAAGTAGTTTGATATTTCTGATAAAAGCAAAAAACAGTTGATATGATCAATTTAACTTCTAAACATCTTGCAGATTTCAATTATCTCTTCTTTACTATTAACTGAATTTAAAAATTAGTGCAGTTATTGAATTTATTCAAAAAATTTCGAAAAAAATACAGAAAACAAAGTTATTAAAAATGTACTTTAGAATTCAAACTAGAATTTAAATTTCTTCCAAGGTTTTTTTGAAAATCATTTTTTGAAATTGTTGAATTTTTTTAGAGGAATAGAAGAGAAACAATGAGTTGACGGGAAGAGAAATAGGAAAGGGTAAATTTTGTTATGAAAAATTTCAGGATATTTTACAGCGATTTGGAATAAAAGTTGGCTTTTCATTAGCATCATGCTTGACTCGTAGTCGAATCGTTGTGCACCACGGCAAATCATTTAACATTCCGTTAATTTCAATTGGAATTTCCGTCACATTCACTACATTAGTAGTTCTTACTAAAAAAATTCTGCGATATTTCTTTCAAATCTTTTCTTTAAAACATACATTACTTTGACTAAATAACTTTTTTTGTAAACCGATAAAATGAAAATTCTATACATTTCATAAATTCATTAAATTTATTAATTTCATCATGTTTACATCGTTGTCACAAAAAGAAAGTTATTTAGTCAAAGTAATGTATAATTTCGATTTAAACATTTTGAAATAATTAAATTGCTTTAGTAATAACGATTGCATAGATATTAGTTTGTTTTGGGACAGGGCTGAGCTATTATTCAATATCAAAATAAATAAATCTCAAGGAATTATCATTTTTTAAATGAAAGGGAGTTTTTAATTTGATTAAGAAATCATTATTTTACCTTTTAATTGAATTAAATGTTTACTGAAATAACGCTCACATGTAATATCGCAATCGAGAGTGGAACGTATGTGTGTTCCAGTGCCTGAACTTTGACTTCTTGACGTTTTTACATATTTATCCATTGAAAATTTATTTCGCTCATCCAAATTTTCTGCTGTTTTAGGATGCTGAAAATTTTAAACTTATATTTGTGAAATAATCAAAATTCTTTCAAAATGACTATATGTCAATTATTTTTATTAAATTTTAAAATGTCAAGTTACCTTCCTAACCGGGGTTGATGTTTTCAATGGGCTAAAAGCAACCGGTATAGATTCTGTAGAAGCCGGAAGAATTGGAGATTTGGCTGGTGCAAATCTACTCCAACGACTTGAACGTCGTAAACCACCTAATAAGCGTAATTTTTTCGACCACAAATCTGGAAATTGAGATAACTGCTTTAATAATTTATTAAATCTGGTAAAACAAATTTTCAGAAATTTTTCATTTTATATAACTTTAAATGTTAATAGAAATTTGCATAAATTTTTGAATGTTTAGAAACTGTTTCAGACAAAATATAAATAAATTTGTACTAAAAATGCATATTTTTAATAAGAGATCAAGCATTCTCTGACCTGTTTTTCCATCCTTTGCACTATCGTCAAGTTTTTTTTGTTTGGTAGATACCTGAACAATTCTCTAATAATTAGAACTAAAGTTTTTGAGTAGTTTCAAATGTCCATAGTAAACTATGCTATTTTAATAGTTTTTAAATATGTATATGATACTTATTAGTTCTTGTAAAAATTTCAACAAAGGAAAAATATTAGTGATTTCTTGAACTTAAAAAGAAATGATTTTAAAAAACTAATCAAAAAGAATTCTAAATTTTATCACAAAATGCTTTGCTTTTATTAAAGTCTAAACTTAAAAGGTGATAAAAGAAAAAAAGCTTACAGGCGAATCAGAAATATTATCTATGATTGGTACTCCACTATCATTTACTCCCTGAAATACATCGGAAGATTTTTTGACGTTATTAGGAAAAAAAATCGTTATTAAAAGTATTTTTATACTTTTAAAAATTTTCAAAATTTAAGGAAATTTTTTAAAACTTGTTAAATTTTTACCCGTATAATTGGCATTTCAGTGAGCTTCACTGATTGTATTTTATGCGGGGGTATTTGCTCTGAAAAGTCAGTAATCTGTATGTGTCAGAAATGCAATAATTTTGCAATTCAGAATACTGTAAAATTTTGAAATTGAAAAAAAAAATTAAAAAATTTGTAATTCTGTGAAATTAAAAGATTTCTTTTTATTGGCAGCATTTGTTCACATATTTAATACATAAAATAAACATATGGAAAAGATTTATACTCCCATTATCATTACCTTTTTCCTGTTCATCTGTCACTTTTGCTGATTTCAGTTGCTTGAATTCTCTTAAAATGTACGATGGAGTAATGTATAACTCAGAATCGAATAAAATTTACTTCTATAAAAATTTTCCCTCTCACAAATATCTATAAACTGCTCTTCCTCGAATATGAGCCTAACATTCCTTCTTATTGAACTCAAATACTCCCTTGCTATTTTCAATTACTGTAATCACTTCAATACTGAAATAGACAAAAAAAATTCTAGCACTGAAAAAATTTGTATTACATTTGTTTAATATAGGCTATGAGAAAATAGAAAATTAGGTAAAATGATGTGTAATCATACCTAAATGAAAATTGACGAGGTGTAGTTTCCTTAGTTTGGCGAATCTGCCCGTCGGTCACAGGTGATAATGACGATGATCGCTGGATGGGAAAATCAGATTGAGTGCCACCACGTGATTGAGACGCTGAAAATAAAGGAAATGAAGGAGAGAGAATAGTACTCATGAAACTATGAAATTTTCCAACTTACACTGCTAAATTCAATGATATGAAGCAGCAAAAGTTGTGTAATCGTAAAATTCCCAATCGTTCAATTAGAAGATTTTTTAATATAAAAATAACGAATGAATGAGATTAGATAGATTGTGAAATTTAACTGTAAATTTATCATTTAATAGCTAAATGAATTTCAATTTTTTATTTTAAAATGATAAATGGATCCTTAGTAATAAAATACTCATTCCTATTATTGATATTATCACTTTCTGTTCATCTCGTTGTTTATAGCTAAATTAAGAATAGCTTTTTCTTAATTTAAAATGATAGGCATTTTTAGCAATAAAATATTTATTCCTATTAATTTTGATAACCAATTGACTAATTGTACTGAAAAAAGTATATCACTAAGAAATCACACCGAGAAAAAGTATTCTACAAACTACTGTTTAACTTTAAATTTCACATCAAATGTGTTGCTCACACTATACATTTCAAATCATATCATTCAGGAGTGATTTGCAATCTGAAAATTTTCAAAATTGTCAATACTAACTCGACAATACAAAATTGCTATATCGTCGTACTTCTCCAAATTCAAATAGGTGCGGTTCTCGAGCAGTCATAAATTCACTTAACCCTTCTCGAGGATTAATTTCTGCTTCACGACTGATATCGATGCGACGCGGTCCAATTAATACCTCCTCAACGTACCGTATTGGTATGTCATAATTTTCTGGTTCAATTATTCGTTCTTCAATTTGCTTTTGCAGACGTTGGGTTGCATGGGGCTCTTTACCACTGGATAGTGTGATTATTAGCTTCTCGATCAGTCGAATGTTACCGTTAATGGATCGTTGTTCACCGTATACCGAAGTGATATTTAGCATTGATTGAGGTTTCAAAGCCATATTACTAAAATACGATCATATTTCTATTATTGTATTCTTCAACAAATATTGCAGAGATATCTTATGACAATGTTTTTTTTTTTTTCAATGAAATATTGCTTGCAAAAAAATGAAAGCTGTAAAATAACCAAATTAATTGAATCTAGTTGAAATCACTAATTAATCACTCGTTATAAGTAGACTCTAATAATAAATTTATTTAATAAAGAGGAAACAAAAGAAATATAGAAGTAACGAATTTCAAGAGATATATATTAATAATCAATTAAAAGAAGATCTTTATAATTACAGCAAATAATTCAATAGTAATTTAAAATTAAAAAAATGGTAGTTTAAAATTTTAAAAATAGTAATTTGAAATTAAAAAAAATTACGAAACTATTGGGTCATAACCATTATACTAAACAAATTAATGAAATCCACTAAAATTGTTACAGTCAATTATTAACCCATAAATTTCACGTTGCACAGCATTAGTCACTTCTGCTGGACATAAATTATTGTAAGTACGACGATCATTCCTTATGACTTCTTTCCCATTTTGCAAATTACGAAATAATGTTGATCGTCTTATTTTAATAATATTATTTTTGACAAATATATCTTCTTTAAAATTTAACGGTCTTTTATCCCATTCTGTCTCGTTGGTTTCACGATTCATTATCGGCGCACCCTGAAATAAATTTAGATTTCAATTTATAACTATAACAATAACTTAATTATTAACTCTTCAATTATACAATGACGTCGGATAAATTAAATGTGCAATCAAATGAATTTTATTGTCATTTTAAACTCATTTATTCTTCTATTCGTAGCAACTATTTAAAAACTATAAAATTGTTTGATATGTTGAATGTCAGTTCACAATTCATTACGTTGTGCAGCACATCTCTTTTTTTGCATTCGTAATAACAAATACTGTACGATGAACATCTAATAAAAATTAACTCCAATCATCAATGAATTAATACTCGTATTGTGTAACTTGAAATGCACATGTCGTACTGATAAAATTAATAGTAACTTCAAATGAATTACATATATTCAATTTTTATTTTAATTCAACTTAAAGATGGTTTGTTTTTTTTTTTCACAAAACAAATGAGAACACTGAAACACTCACAATAAGCATTTCATCAAGTTGCGCAATATTGCAATGTCCCATTTCATTGGCGGAAAAGATGTAAATTGTTGAATGAAGCAAAGATTGACGTATTGTTGATGTGACACGAATGCATTGCTCTGTGATCACCTGAATTTTTTGCATATTTATGAAATAATGCTTCTCATCGATCTATCTCTCTCCAATCAAATTGATCGATATGAATGCAAACGATCAACCATTCGATTCAAATAAAGCATATTTCTCGAAGTAAATCATTTTGATGTTGCTTTACAGTAAATATGCAGCTCACTTAAATAGATAACTAAATAAATTAAATAATTATGCATTATTAATCGGAACAAGAAGTGGCTTCAATATTTGAATAATGATGATTGATAAAGGATAACCGAGATCGGAAGTTGTAAGAAACATTGCGGTTTTTCATCAGTTGTCAAAGCTGCAAAAATACATCATTTTTTGAAATCATCTATTTCACTTTTTTTTTCAAAGAAAAGAAACTGATAAAATAATTGTTCCCAATAATATATTAATATTGCATATTATTCTTTTAAACATTTCCAACTTCAGCATTTTATTTCTTGAATGAAAACAACAGAAATTATCTGATATACCGGTTCTCAGTCTGGCATTTTGCCGCTCCATTTCACTTTTCTTCCTATCTGAAATGTCTAATGACGAAGTTGCCGTTCCAGGAGTGGCCTCATCTTCCGTACTTTCTTCCATCTACAATACCAATTATGAATTTTATAATGCGAACAAAATAAGATGTATTGAACTGCTGCCTATATAATATAACTTTCATATGTAACATTTAGCAGATTGTACTACATGATTTTTATTTCATAGATCAAATTATATAATTCACAAGTGTGAAAATTTATGGATAATGTGACAGACTTGTACTTTAAATTAATTATATGCAAACTAGCAACTTTAAACTTACATTGCGTGAACTGAGGGAGGTGTAATAGCATAACGAATCAGTACCGTCATATAAAGACACACCCGATTTTCTTCTCGGTCGCAATCGAAATCGTGATTTACTTTTTTTAACTGAAGACTATTCAAGAATTATATGCAACAATTAATTTTTCAGCAAAATTATTATATGCCAAGCATATGGATTAAATAATTCATTATTGTTTCAAAGTTTTACCAGAAAGTTAAGCATTTTCTTTTCAAAAATTACTCTGATCTTCTTCTGATACTTAATTCTTCTATTGTTATTATTTAGTCAACATTTTACTTATTTTTAACTACTTTTTTTCACCAATTGTTCATTTTTCTAGTTTGCTGAAAGCTAAACTCATATTAGCTGAACATTTCATAATTGAAATGTATACTTCGATGATTTCGTGAGCATCGGAACATATTCTCATAATAATCATCAGATCTACGATTATAAGAGCGTCTTCTCATGAAATCAGCGTACAGAGAATTTTTATCGTCAACCTATAATTTTATCAACCACCATTTAAACTTTAAATAAAGAATGTAAAAATATTGTTAACATTATTTCAAATTAAAATTTCATTTTCAATTTCACTTGCATCATTTTCATGTCCCGGCAAAATAACTTCATTTTTTCTTTTCATCTTTCGTCTTCGTGAGATCGAACCGGAACGAACCTCATTCCCTGATAATTGAGTACCACTTCCTGATCTGTATAAATTTTTCAAATTTGATTTGTTTCATTTCTTTCTGTATTTTCCTACATCCTGTCAATAACCGGAAGACAGTAAAATGCTGTTTTATGTTTATTCCTTTCTGCTAGTCTTATTTTTGTTTTCTTGTAAAATATTTGTTCCATTTAAACAGTAATTTTATGAGGGCAAATATTTGAATAAATATTTGATATTCTCAAGAAATTCAACATTTCTGAATGAGCTTAGCAATCTTTCATCCCCGATCTCTCAAACAATCTTACCTATAAATAATTATTAGTTGTCGAGATAAGTTAGTATTTTTAACTTCTCTCACAATAAATAAAAAAATGAAGTGATTTGCAATTAATTTTCATTTTACTTCATTTCTGACTCTTTGTTGTCAATGGTCCAGCAAATAGTGAAAAAAGTGAAGTAATAACAATTAATTATTCTGACCTCAAAATCATAGTAGGAATGAAGTAATGTAATTAATTATCTCGAAGTAATTTTAGAAATGGCTCGTATTGGTGCTATCTCTGTTTTTTTAATTTAATTAATTAAAACATTTTATCAGATAATGTCATTCGTTATCCCAACTATATTAAATGTATTTCATTTGAAATATGCAAATTTTTTCCTTTTGACTGCAAGCGACTAAAAAATGTGCTAACTGAATGTAACCTTCTTTATGAACTTTCATTTTACACTTTTTTACAATTATTTTTTATTTCGAATTATTTTTTCTAAATAGTTCTTTTTTATTCTCATTGATTATTCGTAATTGATATGTATTGCTTTTTTGATTTTGAATATTAGAAGAAGGTTTCTGCGTTTTCTTTTCTAAATTTTTCTCATAAATTAACTTTTTCTCTATCTCACAATTTTACAAAACAATTTGACAAAATGGAAAGATAATTAAATACATTAACAGCAAAAAAAAAACGAAACAATTTTTTTAAATATTTCATAATCGTAGTAAAAGAATTCTGATGAAACGAAAATTTAAAAACTAAATTTTATACTTAATGCAATATTGCAATTTCACCCTAAATGAACATGTGAAATGAATCATTTTGATCATTTCTTGCAAACATAGTGAGTAACAATTAAGAATGGAATTAAAAAATTCATATTTCATCCTTAGTTTCTCTACATTTTAAGCATCATTTTCAGATTAATTAAAAATATTTTAGTTGGAACTTTATTTTACAAATTTGAAATGTTTTCCAAAAAAGATTGAATGCGTAAGATAGATTGGTCTTTGTTGAAATTAAATATTGTTGTGTTAGAGAAAAGCAAAATGAACTGTTTGAAAAACGTACTGGGATACATTAAAGCTTTTTGCATGAGTTATTTCTAAACCGGTTCTACGTCCGGAACGTGTTCTTCTCTCATTATCAGATGATCTGTCAAGAAATGTATCACCACCAGTTGGTATTGTATTGTATATTGTTGAACCTATCTCTGGTATATTTCCACTCCGATAATTCCTAAAATGTATTTCACAAATGTTCCACTTCTTTCAAACAATTAAAGCTATTTATTCTTAAACGAGTTTCAAGTTATAGACCGGATCACTTTTGTACTTTTTTTTTATTACATTTCCTCCTTCCCTCCTCCAAAACACTTAACTTTTTACAATCCTTCTTCTTTCTACTTCATGTGACAGTTTTAGTAAAAGGCAATCTCAAATTAGCATTTCTGACAACATAAAATTGAAAATTTGAACAACTTCATCTCGATTTGATAACAAAAAACTCTTTAAAAGATACGTTTTTGTAGTGTCGAATACATATCTACCACTGCCTGAAGGCCCCTGCAAACTTAGTGAGAATATATTTTGTTTCAGTAACTTTGGAAAATATCTGTTTAAAGTCCTAATATCAGTGAAAGTAAAATTAAATGCATCAAAACAGGAGCAATTAGTAACAGTTGATTTAAAATTTAAGTTTTTTGATGCGGAAAGAATTACTTCAATATTTTGGGAGTAATAACTGCTCAAATTATAAAATGACATTTTTACAAAATGAGAGTGAAACTGGAATAAACCATCCACCACGAAGCGGTTTTTATAAAATTAAGATTTTCCATTAAATTTATGTTAAAAAAAGATTATGCTCATTGGACAAGAATTTGTTCATTGGATAAGAATTACATTTGCTGCGAATAAAATGTTCGAAATAATTTTTGAAACTTCAGAAAGGAAAGATATTTTGCAAAAACCGGAACTTAAAATGAGAACTGAAACCTCTGACGGGGTAAATTGTGCTACTAAAAGAATATCTAGGACGAAATGTAGGACAAAAGAACGAAATGTCAGATTATCATATTTATCACCACAACATCATCATCATCCATATTTGTCTTCAATCATTTCAGATTGTTGATGGCAAAATATTTTACAAACATTATCATTTGAAAGACAAAAAACAATAGCTCTTCATTTACTATTTTATTACATGCGACAAAAATGCATAATTTTAAAAGTCTAAGATTTATTTAAAAATGATAAAATGATAAAAACTTGTGTATGTGTGTGTGTTTTTGCTAACTTTTTAAAATTATTAATATATACTATATAAAATGATGCTAAAATTTCTCAATAAAAAATTGAAGAAAGTTGAGAAATTTCTTCAAAGCTTTATTTTAATGATAAGAATGATATTTATTTATCTGTGAAATGATACTTTTTCCTAACAAGTATTTGATTTTCATTATCATCAATGATCCTGTTGGAATGGAAGGAGATAGAGAGATAGTAAAAAGAAGAACTAGTTCAATGAAGAAGGCGCTGTTCGAGCAGCTGCTATTAATGATATCCATGAATGCATGCATTCGACGATAATAACGACGATGGAAGAAGTGCTGATGAAATGAAATGAAATGAAATGTGACGATATGCTGATCTCTTCATTCAGTCCCGGAATTATTGTCAGTCGTAGTGTGGAGTGATACGAATTGAGTCCATTCTATTTCATCTTCATGTTCCAACTTCAACGGTGCATTCTGTTTCTCCCTCTATCGTTCATTTTTTTATCACTACAAGGTAAGTCTTCTTATTACGCTTAGTCTAACAAAAAAAAAATTTTTTTTTTACACAAGCAATTTTTCAATTTTATTTTTCTCTCTACCATTTATTCTTAGCTAAGGTGTAATATGCTGGCAATAAATTGAAACTGATAAAATTACTTCTAAGCAAGATAATTGCCGTATTGCATTATCAAATTCTATAGCTTTTTCAAGATATATAGAAAATTTTGAGACTTGATAAGATTTCATATCTTATCGATTTCAAAAAAAAAAGGAAATTCTATCTAAAATTAATTCCATCAACGGATTTTTTCAAATGAAAGAAAAAAATTACCATTGCATTTTTCTTGTCGTAATATTCCACTATAATATCTTCCTAATCAGCATTCCATATCACATAGCACTTCTGAAAACAATTTTTTTTTTAGGAGTTCATCATTATAACTGTATAAAAAAGCATCAAAATCAACTTTATTTTATCTCAACAACTTGTTACATTTGCAGTTTTCGGTAGTTCACTTGATTGCAATTTCAATTGGACATTTTGCTGTTGGAAGAATAAAGGTAGCGGTGCACCGTGGCAAATATACCGCGGTAAAAATTATGATAATAAAAATGGAACAATTTTGCATTCACGACTTCGTAACGATAAACTAAGTAATTATTTTCTTTTTCCCTAAAAATTTGTCATTATTTTTCAAATCTTTTTCGAGATACACTTCAGATAAATTAATAAAAAGAGTATTTATTAAAAGAATGTTATGAAGCTTGGAAAAAATAATAAATGAATAAAAGTGATTAATAATTTATGGATTTGCTTATCGTTCTTTCAGTTGTTGCCATTGTTAAATTAAAGCCACAAAAATTTAAATTAGACAAATGAACTCCTTTCTACTTCCGAACATGCCTAATTTACTGACATTTTTTTTTGAAAAACATTGCTCACATTTGTTAGCATCTTCTTGTTCATGCTTATCAAATTTCGATTTTAAGCGTTTTTTTTTCAATTATAAGTTAAAAAATAGGCCTTTTGAAATAAATGAACTGTACCATTTTGTTTGCTGTTCACTTCTTCACGTTAATTATTTCGCTTTAAATTTTTGTAAACTGAAATTTTTGTAAAAAGAATTTTAAAAAAAGCTTAAAATTAAATAAGCATAGATAAAGAAACGATCTAAAAAGAAAGCAAAAAATTGTTGGTTGACCTTAATTTCAGCATCATGTAAAGTGTAATTATTGTCCCTAAAAAATCGTTGAATTTTTCAATGTAGATTTCTGTATTTGTAATATCGGGAATGCAAAAGTTTTGGATTTTTTGTTTTTTTCTTGGATAAACTAAGAATTCCAGTGCATGATGCCATGTTCTATTTTATCATTGTAACTGTTTCTCATTCTTTTGTTATATTACGTCAATTTTAAAAGTAATTTGAAAACCGAAACTATATTTTGCTCAAATTAAATGCAACTGCAGAGTTAAGGGATCATTTATTGATGAGTTTTTATCTAACAAAAATAGAGTGATCAATAAGAGATTGGTTTTGGTTAAGTGACTGAAAATATTCTGCACTTCTGTAATGCATTTACAATGTAAGGAAATAGCACTACCAGATTACATTGTGAAAGAAATACCGGAGATCATGTTGATTAAATTTTAGTACATGAAAATACTACAATTATTGTATTATGACATATGGAAAAAGTAATTCATGTTCCCTGAAAGCTTCGTAATCAAACAAATTGATTTCCGCGGAATAACAATCCGAAACAATTCTCAGAGATGATCAAATCATATTTTATACTATTTAATAAAATAAAATTGTTAAGGAAAAAAGACAAAGAGTTGAACTCTTATCTTTGTGAACAAATTTCTCATATCGTAAAATCTGATTTCGTAATTTTTCAAAATTTCGTAGTTTTTTCTCAGCATGCTTCAAAATAGTATAAAATTAGGTCTATTATTTTACTTTTTATTCGATGTAAAATAAAAAAAGGGAAATAACTATTTCATTAAACATGTAAATCATAAGCTCATTAAGGCACTACCAACTTCCAACAAATTAATGCAATAGAAAAAAAGAAAATCATCCATGCCTTTATGGCGACAGGCTTCATATCATATATCCAGCTACTGCCACTATTACATAAAATGCATTTCAGGCCATTTTTTCTTGGCCACATCAGTGACACCCGAACAGAGATTCTCTACCGACTGGACTTCATGCGCGATATGCTCCGAAACGGGTCTTTTTACAGTTCTTGTAAGGTTTGTTTTATCAAAACATACATCTTGATCTTAATTACTCACATGATTCATTTTTATTACGATATGCATCACACTGTATATTCGTCAATATTGAAAATTCGAATTTCGCCATAAATCATTTAAAATATTTTCAAAAACTATGAAAATTTGCCATGAATATAGTCTTTCGGAATGAATAATAGTTTTAAAGTATAAAATTATCAACTATGCATTGAAGAAATTAAACACTTTGAAAATACAAATTTCTAGAGCTTATCAGACACCCAGAACACGGATCAAATTGTGCTGGAAATTTGCTAACGGTGAGATTAGCATTTATCGATATTGCACATTTCTACGAAACTGGAGATCTGCTGATTATGCTAGCAAGCATTTCACTGTCACTTCGAAACAGCCAATTCAAGTATTAAAATTGTTCTTTTTCTTTCTTGGAAAGAAAAAAAAACGAGATGAAATTTAGTGAGAGAAAAGTCTTTAGACATCTTTTGTTTTTCATTAAAAATTTCATCCAACAGTTTAACAGTTTAACAAATTTATACATTCAAGATACGTATTTATTTGAGACAGTAATAAATATTTGTAATCTGAAAGAAAACATTTGATTTCAGTTTTATATTAAACTGCATAATCATGGACGTTCTATAGCGACAGCAGTCATCGATAATATAAAAGTCGTCACTGAAGAATGTCACTTACCTTCTTCCATACGACCAAAATATAAAACAGTGCAACTATATCCCATACAACGAACTGAAGAAAGAGGAGGATTTAAGACACAAGCTATAACTTCTCGACGTCCAATAAGCAAACAAACAACTAATAAGAATTCTACAAATTCATCTAATTCAAATTCTCCATTTAGTTAGTTCACTTTCTTCACCTTTTATAAGTTCTTAAAAATTCTAAAGTCTAAAACATTTCTGAAACACAATATAAAAAAACCTTCTTTAAAAACCATCATAATTTCAGTACTCAGTGATATTTTTGGAGATGCGTTTGCACAGTTTTTGGTGGATGATTCGGACGGTTTAATTGTTGAAAGCCAAAAGACTGGAAGAAGTAATGTGAATAGCGAGAGGTATGTTTTTAAATCAAAATAAAATTAAGAAGAGGGAAGGAACACGACGAAAGGCAAAAGAAAAAAGTTGCAATAATGAAATATTTGAGCTATAGTTTTCGATATTCAGATTTTTCAAAAATTAGGATATTATTTAAAATCTGATCATACATAAATGAACTTTATTATGAACTTTGCTTTCAAGTTTGGTTAATCTCTTTCGAAGTATGAATAAAATGAATGTGAATGTTGAGTAGAAATTCCAGCTAATTTGAAAAATCCTTATCAAACAGTCAGAAAATAAAAAAAAAATTTATCTAGGTGGTTCAATCGAAATAACGCCGAACAATATAATGAAATATTTGTTGCAACAACGCTTGCTCCTGAACTACCCTTCACTTTCAATTTTTTGGAATGCAACACTGTTGGTGGTTGTTTATTCGATCAATCAATGTGCACTTATCAAAGTTCACATATGTCTCACGGTTCAACTTTCCAACGAGTCAGACGTAAGTATCTCAACTTACATTTCGAAAAACCGCAAAATCCCACTCCTGTAACAAAGTCACTCAGTTAACTTTGTTTTCAAATCAAAAAATTATAAATCTTTAAAATAATGCTTTGTTTTTAACACTCTAAAACTCTTAGCTCCTCCTATTTTTGGACATTTTTCCATTTCTTTTCCTTTTATTTGCAATATTCTAAAACCTCTAAATCGTCAAACTTCTAGTATTTTAGTTTATGATCGAAATTTTATGCAAGCACTTACGAGACCGAATACAATAGCAGTATTAGAGACAGATACATCATTCACAGAAGATCATAAAATTGTATTCGATGCATTGGAATTCACAGAAGGAGAACGACTATATGGATGCTGCTATAATAAAAAACGGGACGCAGACGGTTCATTTACTGCATTTAACCTCATTGAATATCAATTTCATTCAGTCAAATGCATATCATGCTGTGAAGATAGCAACGATTAGACATTTTCGAAGTAAGCGATTGTATCCAGGTAGCCGAAGCATGAAAGCGCTTTACCACTTCATAGACAGTGAAGTTTGAGCAAAACCTTAAGCAAAAGGAAATATTCTACTTTTGGGGCGCAAAAATTAAAATAATTCTTTTCAGAAACCTTAACCAGTATAAGGACATTACTAGGAGGCGAACGACCGTCCGAACTATTTTGTCCATTTGCAACAGCAGCGCACTCGACCCCACTTATTTGGAGAACAGAAAGGTTTACCTGCCCCGGAGGAACCGAAAAGGTATCAAAATTTCGAATAACTAAAGGGATAAATAGGCATATCATCGATAAAATCTTGTAAAATTGTGTTTGATAATTTCGGCATCACAAGAGACGGTATTTAAACTATTAATTATCATGATACGATTGATTATGGATTATTGAACTACATAAGTGATAAAAACCCTCCACCATGAAAACTGGACTATTAGCTAATCAGAATGAAAACACTAATCATAAAAAAAGAATTTGCCTGATAGAAACATAAAATGAGAGATATACGATCATCATAATAAGTACTCAGTTTCAGATCCTATTTATGTGTGAAAACAATGGAAAAATAAATGGGGCATGTGCAATGGACAATATTCGAATACACAAGATTTTGGATGTTCTGGAAATGGAACCATGTCAAAAGAACATTATCGCCTTCTCATGAACCATTTTTCCGATCAAATACTTCCTAGGTAATTTGATCTAAAAAATTACATGGTACATATTTTGACTTGCTACCAGACGGTTCAGAAACTTCACTTAAAAATGATCTCAAATCATTTGTTACGAATTTCTGAATTAAAATTCAGAAATATGCATTTTCAAAATCGTTGAATTATTGCTTACATCTAGTCTACTTACCTCATGTCTAGCATGTGGTATTATTTTGATACTGAAACATCTTTATAATATGAATAAACAAAGAAACTTTTTATTGAAAAAGATCATATATAATAAAAGTGACTTGATGTATTTATTCTAAAAATTAATTTGGAAAAATTCTTATTCATCCAAATAAAAAACAAAAGATATATTTGAGAATAGTCATCAGGTCGTGTAACATTTGCGAAACGCAAGAATATAGATAAAAATGCATGGATGTCAAAGAGTCAGTAAGCTTATCGTCTTTGAATTTTTGGAGATAATGATTATAAAACAAGGCTACACAACCGATACAGTAAAAACCCAAAGAAAAGAGTGTAAGTCCGTTAATGGATAGTAATCTTAAATTTCCACAAAAAAAAATTCCACCTCATTTTTAAGTTTCGTTACACCGTAGCTCCAAAAAATTATAAATTTTCTGCATATTCAAATTACAATTTTGACTTTCTGTATAGGGGCCAGCCAAAAACAAATGAAACCCAAAAGCAAAAAAAAAATTACTTTAAACCAATAAAATAATGGTTTGCGAGCAAAGTAAATAACTGGGAGGTAGGGAGATAAAAAAGATAAAACAATTAAAACAAGATCTAAATTCTACAGAAGAAATAGATATATAACTAATAAACTAATTCATAGATCCTAAAGAACAAAAAAGAGTCGATCTAGGATTGTAAGGCAGAAAGGCAGTGAGATACAAGTGCAATGTCAGATTTAATAAAATCATTTGGCACTCAAGCTCAAAAAAATCGCCTTCCACTATAATCATTCTTACACGAAGCCAAATTAATCAATATAAAAGTCCGAAAAACAAAAAAAAAAACTTCAAATATAATACAGAAAAAATCAAATAACAATGCACCAAGTTAATGAGATGCAAATAAAACAAAGAAATAACTAACATCCGGAAAACAGAGATCATCGATAAATCGTTGTTACCACTTTCAATCAATCAACCAAATCAGGGATCGATTCATTAGTGACATCGAGAAGCGGTAAACCATTAGTGACATTTTTATTTGAATCTTCAATAGATTCTCCCATTTCTAAATCATCTTCAGCTTTCTCTGAAAAAGCGATCAACAATGAATCTTCTAAATGAAGTATAAATATTTACCTTTAAGACATAACTATTTTTACTAAAAATTTCCGCTTATGAATAAATACCAAATAATATTACTAAACATCTCCTACATCTCAAAGTTATAGGAAATCTTAAATTACTGAAAGATTCTCAGGCTCCCCATAATAATAATAGAAATCGAGTATTTTATAAAGAAATGATTATTAAAAATAATATTTGAGCTATTATACTTTACACTTACATGAGAATCAGGACCACACTTCATAAAAGTGAGTCAAAAAAATGAAATAAAGTACAATCTAAGCTTTAAAAAAATTTAATTCAAGCTGGTCAATATGAGCATACCAATAATAAAATTTCATGATTTAAATCAATTCTGAGTTGGAGTTAATAAGATGATATTTACTACCCACCTTCAACAGCCCCTATATCCTGCTTTAGGTCATCAATTTTATCAACATCGATTCTCATGGGAAAATTATCCTCTGTTTTTTCCGTCATGGTTTCAGTACCTTCCATATCCCCAATTTCAGTTCCCTCCATATTCCCAGATTCAATATCTTCTATATCCTCACTTCCTTCGTTTTTGTGCCATTTTATCGCAAAAGTAGTTACGCGAACATCATCAATACAAACCCTTCTTTGCAGCTGCAACAGATCAGATCATTATTTTAAGAACTAATCTACCACTTTTTATAAAATACATGCATATTATTTAACTTTACAATAAAGATTTAACTAATACTTTCTCCAAAACTGGAGATGCAGGAGGCTCTTCCTGCAATTCTGGATCGGTGTATTCCGTTGCAATGAACCATCCAATATTAATGAACTCTTGTTCCATGTACCTACACTTCAACAACAGCACTGCTACACCAACAATTTCACTTTCTGGTATTTTAGACGGATCCGGACCATCAGCCTATAAATTACATAGAAATATTGCTCCCTATTAACAACTTTAATGACGTTCATTCCACAAATGTGGAAAAAAATTCACCGAACAAGCTTTAATAATAATTTCTGTTAATTTTCAACGAAAATTCCGGAAAGTTTAACATGAGTCTCCAAGCAAACCCAAAGCAAACTCAAATCTTTTTATAATTCAAGCAACATGTAGCTTATAACATACTAAATAAAATAAGTGCTTAAATCTCATTAAACAAAGAAAACCATCTTTTTCTTATATGATTTTGTATCTGTTCATGTTCCGAAAACAAAAAACCTCGAAAATAAACTTGTGACGTCCTTCCACAACTGGACCAACCAGGATAGAATCAAGAATTTGATCATATTTATTCGATTCTCCCGAACCAACATACACTAGTTCCCAATCCAAGTCTAAACATACTTGTGAGAATAATTATGATTTCTACGATATATTTATAGAGTTTTGATCAAATAAAACAATGTACAATCTACAATACATCAAAACAACACACATGAACTGTTGAGGTTATCTTATTAATAATATAAATAAACATTTAGAAAAACAGTAAATTAACCATCTATAAGAGGTTCGTAACACTCAAATGTGATTTCCAGCTTGAAAGAGTCACCAAATTTTCCGGGATTTTCCAACACATTTACACTGCATACATTCACAACAGAAGCCATTCCTGGAATATGGTCAAACCAATTAGTAATATTGTTTGTGCAGAAAACAGCAGTAGGCAGGTTAAAAAAATGACTGAAATATTTCTCTCATCCGTATAAGATTTCATGTGTAGAATAACGACCTTTTTCCAAGTAAGTTCCATTTCTTCCTGATGACAGTTTCTTTCAAAAAGTCATTACCAATATTCAAAATAAAAAAAGACTACGGGAAGTCATTTCACATTTCAGATGCTATCTGTTACGAAAAAGCGCTACGTTACATCAGCTAGCAGCATTGAAATGTGAAATGAAGTTCAGTTAGTCACAGTTGTATGCTATTCCATAACAAATTGTAGTGGAAAACCAATTCAACAAAAAAACCACACAACCAAATTCACCTTTGCTCCCACCCTTTAACCTTTTGCACGTCATGGTGATCTAATAATTATGCGGGAGAAAATGAAAATTTTTTCATCCCAACAGGAAATTTACTGTCGAATTATTTAGCCTTTTTAAATGTCATTTATCTCAAAAACAATGAATTGATTTATATAAATTTTGATGGGAAATATTGCGGTAATCTTTTATAGGAAGTCTTAATAAATGTTAGATTCCAAATAGGAATGTTCGATTGGATTTAATCATCATTTGCTCTCAAAGTCGGAATTTCGATTTTTCGAATTCCATACTGGACACATTCAACAGTTTTATTTGTGTAAATAATTTGATTATTCATTTACGGTTATTACAACTTTAATTTATTAGGGTATAGCAGGAACGATATCAGAGTTACATAGCTAAACTGTTTTCACTTAAATGTATTTTAGTTTGTTGTTATTAGTTGTGTTGAAGTTGCTATCGTAATTCTTAAACGGTGATTTGATATGTAATTTTCAATTATTGGAAATGAGGAAAACTGCGATTGAAATAGTCTATCAAGAGATTGAAGCAATGATTAGATTATGAATAAAATTTTAGCCGAAAAAAAATTTGATTTTGCAAATTTAAAAGTAGTGGATTGTATGATAGATAATCGAATCATCTTCTTTTGTTTGTTTTAGCAAATAAAATTAAACTAAAAATTTGAGAATTTATTTTATTTGAAGACATCTGTTTGTTTAAGCACAAATTAAAACTAAAATTTGAGGAAATTTATTTTTATTTATTTGAGAAACTCAAATTTGAGAATTTATTTTAGTTCGTATATCATAAATAATCGATGACATATAGGATATCCATGTAGTCTTATACTTCATAGTTTACTACTGGTCACTAAATAATCCATTGCTGGTCATTAAATAGTTCATGCCAATATATTGCCTCTCTTTGTCTATGAGCTAGCTGCTCTTCATTAGCTGTAGAGGAAGGATATTTTGTTCAAGCTTATAAAAGGGCAGGTACTCACTGTCTATTATATCAGACTAGCAGAGAGAAGAGCGGAGGAATTTTGGGATGGATGGATAGGCTTGCCTTCCATGAAGGACAAACAATTGTGAAGTGTTCCTTCTCTTCGTGTCTAAAGTTGCAGTGTGGGTTGTATGAACAAACCATATGGGAAGGAAATTTTTTTAAAATGACTTTCTCTTGCGAAAACATTAAGGCCTGGGGATAGAGGTTGCGATTCTCATTGGAAGCAATATGCGCAGACGAAAAAAGCTAGAATTGGAATGTTATAGAGATGCTGCCATGAGTGAGAGATGTTTAACGACGAGTGAAGCGCGTTATTAAAACGGCTCTTTTCAGGCCTGACAAAAAGGCCTGCTCTCCTCATTCTATTCTCGTTAAGCTGATTTTAGCAGTGGACTAGGGGGGCGATATAGTTCGAGGCAAAATGTTAGAGCGGAAATAAAGGAGGAAGGGATAGTTGCTTCTTCCATCGGCCTCTAAAGGATCGATATATGGGTTTTAAGCCTGATGCACTTGGAATTTAACTCGCCTCAACTGCATATGCATGCCATTCTTCATGCTCTTTTACTTATCAATTTTTTTAAAAAAAAAAACCTAATATTCATTCCGAAATTTTTGCCAATTTTTATTTAGTATATTTAAAAAATCTTACAAATGTATTTTTTTCAACTTTGATGGGATGTGTAATTCATTATATAATCTTTTTTTAATTATTCATGTTAATAATTTCGGCGTTTTCAAGTTAGAACTTATCAAATGATATTAATTCTAGCGCCGATGCATTTTGCTCGTTAAAAGATGCTAATGAATAAATAGAATTTTGCTTTATCTCCATGGAAATAAGACTGAAAGACTCAACTGATTTTAAAAAACAAATCCCATCTAACTGCTCAAATAAGAATTTAGCGCTTTTTCAAGAAAATACATCAATTCTCGTTATAAGAATTTATTTGCGACAAAGAATGAAACATTCTGTGCAGTTTATTTTAGTTAATTGCTTGTGAAAAGAAAGAAAGAAAGAAATAAGTTGTAGGCTATGATGGTTAAGGGTAAAATAGATTTGCTTAACTATTTTTTAAATTTATGGCATTCAATGAACTTCCGTTTCTCTTTCTCTTTTTTTGCGAAATTTTTCCTATAATTCCATTTATTTCTCCCTTAGATAACTTCATTTCGGACTAATTTAATAATTTATAGTGAATAGCTAAATACTTGAATTGACAAGTGAAAAAAGCGGTAATGGTGGAGGCAAATTCTTCGGAAGTTGCAAATCAATAAACGGCTTCTCTAAAGCGTAATTTTTATTAAATATAGCTGTACAATAGTCAAAATATAATAGTATGAACTTATCAAAGTACTAAAATGTGCTACAAATAGCTCATTTTCTTTAGTTATTATATTAGCTTTGCTTGACATCCATATTTGATAGCACTATTGTTTGATATTGATTTCATATATGTTAATAATATATCACATACTTCTGTTTAGTCTGAATATTAACTCATATCAACAAGAAAATAAAGTACTGATATTAACCTTAACGTGAAATATACTTATGTGTTTAAGGAAGTCCAGCTATTTGGCTAATTTTGGAAAACAAAATGCTAATTTAGAAATGCATGAAAATTGATTAAATGAAAGGAGAAAGATAGGAAGCAGAAGGAAGGAATACAAATATAAAATTGCTTAATTAAAAAAGCAAAAAATATGCTACATATAAAAATAATTCAAAATAATGCTTGATTAAATTGTCTGCGTCTGAAAACATAATGTCAGCATTTTGATAAAATTTTCATCAATGAAACCATCCAAAGAGATTAGCTATTCTCACTTTCATAAAATTTTCACTCAGTGATTTCAATTCGTTTCAATTTTTCAAATCATCAAATGATAATCTTTTTAGCTTTTTCATTTTCTACTTTTCCCCTATTTTCTTTTTCATTTTCCTCTCAATATGTTTTCTTTTTGTTATTACTCCGATTGTATGTGTATGATCGAAAGTTCAATTCTTAAATAATTTTATGAATTTTCATTATTACAGTCCTTCCTTTTTTTCTATTTTTACTAATTTACAACTTGTATTAATGAGTAATAGTATCGCAGCGCATCACACCTTGTCGTCTCTTTACTTTGACCAATTGATTGGTGCTTAGCTGCTTACTTGAAATTAATTTCGATCGATAAAAAGTTTAGTTAGCCACTCTTACAATGTATATGAGAACTAATTGGCACGATTAAATGTTGTTAATTCTCTCGCAATTTCATATTATTACTCATTTCCTGCAAATTTCCGGTCTTATTGTATAACCATGCAGTCATGGAGGGAGGCGTGCAAGCAGGCATGCAGTCATGGAGGGAGGCGTGCAGGCAGGCATGCAGACAGTCTTCGTCATACTTGCATGCCCATGAGCACTGCGAAATGATATGGTTTTGAAGTGCCAATAACACATCTCAACATTGCGCTAAAAGCACTAAAATCATTAGCCAAAGAAATATCAGCATGAAAAGATAGCGAAAGCTGTAGAAATTAAAAATCTATTTTTGAAAAAAATGAATTTTAAATCCGAATTATTTTAAAAACAATTTCCAATTGCGTAACCTTAACGAAACATTCAAATGTTTTTTTTTTTTTGTTCATAATGTCTTTGTTCTTTATTTATGTCATTTTTTTATTTTTGTCTTGTTTGCAAGAAACATAATTTGGAAAAAAATAAAAAAGCAAGAGGGAGAGAGAGAAAAAAAGAGAGACAAAGAGGGATAAAAAAGAAGAAAAGGTGCATGAAAAGAAGCAAACAATGAGTGATATTTTTTTATAATCAGTAAAAAAGAAATATGTTGTTGTATCATCATATTATTATTATCACCGTCATCGTCATCACCATCATCACCATCACGATCAACATCATCATCATCAATCTATTCGCATTTTAATGGAACTGTCAAATGGCATGAGTGGAGTGACAGTGAAGCAATAAATGATTAGGATGACATTCTCACTGATCTTTGGCTGTTCATTTGGTAGCATTTGATTTATAACTTCTTCCGATGTACTCATTCTCTTTTATTTTTGTACTTTTCATCAAAAATTGAGCAGTTAAATGTTAAATTATTTTCACTCAAATTTGACATCAATCAATTTTCAATAAGCTATTTGTGAAGTTCGATCAATATGGTTGAATTTCGTAATCTATAATTATTATTTTTAATCATATGTATTTTTATCGAATGATATACTAATTATAGACACTTTTCTCTCTCCTCCTCTCTCTCTTACTTTTTCATCCCTTTTTTCTTTTTTCTTTCATTCTCTTATTTTGTTATTTACCACCTTTTTTATTTTCGAAATAAATATATGACTAATAACTTTTACGATTATTTGTTATGTATGCTATTTTATTTTATTGCTTAAAATTTCAAATTTCTTTTTGTTACGTGGTAATATTCAAAGATTCCAATGTAATTATTTAAGTATTTAAAATTTAATGTAGTTGAATTCAATGCAATTAAGATGTGAAAAAAGGCGAATGACTCAATAGTATAATTTAAATTTAACATAATATTTTACACATTAAAATATCAAATTAAATAATTTGAAATTTATAATTTAAATAGAA